GTAGCAGTTCGGCATACGACTACAGTTCAGTTCTTCCTACCACCCCGAAACCGACGGACAGACATAACGGACAAATCAGACTATGGAGCAACTCATCCGAGCCACGTGCGACGACCCAACCACCTGGGAACAACAGCTGCCACTCATTGAGTTTGCATACAACAACTCACCATCCGCCACGACCCAACAGCCACCGTTTTACCTGAACTACGGACAAGACCCGACAGTACCCATGACCCCGAATCCCGACAACCCGGTGCCACGAGCATAACAGTTCGCCGAAATTTTACAAGCAGCACGGACCCGGGCAGCAGACGCAATAAAAAAATCGAACATCATCGCTAAACGTAATGCCGACCGCCACCGCCGACCTGTCACTTACCAACCACGACCTAGTTTTACTCGACACTCAGAACCTCCGCCTGCCCATCACCCCAAAACTCCGCCCCCGATATTGCGGGCCGTTTCGCATAAGCCACATGATTACGCCCGTCACCGCCCATCTCCTCCTCCCCGCTGACTGGTACGTCAGCCAGTCTTTCCACGTCAGCCTACTTCGCCCCTACATACCGTCCACAAGCCAACTACCACGTAATCGCCCAGCCAGTACGACACGACCGCCGACTGAACCAATCATCACACCCGAGAAAATTTTGAGCCGCTGAGTTCGTGACCAGGGCCTCAGAAGTCAGCGAAAAAAGGCTGATTTAAGTAAAAAAGGCCGAGATTCAGACCTTTTTCAGAATCGAGGTTGATTTTCCAGCAATGTTTTGTGAAGAAACAGGATTTTTTACTATATTTGTAGTGTAAAATGGCATAAAATGGGCTGATTTCTCTGTTTTTCAGAATAGAATTTTGTACCAACTCTGATCTTTCAGCCTAGCCTGAAACCAATCTGAGGCCCTGTTCGTGACCCTCGAGAAGCCCGAAGGATCGAGTTCCTGATCCGCTAGAAAGACCGTACACCCACCGAAGACAACTGGGTTCCCCTGGACAGAGTCGAGAACCACCCCGTCCTCACAGAGTATCTGCGCAGCCGAAAATTCAGGGATGTACACGCGCTTTCGTAAGGAGGACCTCCTTAAGGGGGGGGGGGGGGGGTTGTGTAAGGAAAATTCCTCTTCCTTACTTCGCGTCCCCGCTCAGTGCGTACACCACTGTAGCACCACAGTCGGCACCGTTACCACCCGCAACCCTCGCATCGACAATCCTCCAGCCACCTTCGCACGTCGCATCCCGCCCTCACGGCTCGGCGGGTAACCCGCGCTCCGGCTCTCCGCTTCGACATTTCCCCAAAACTCAGTCCCAGGCCCGTTGCGCGACAACCACAGTCCATTACCGTTACCACTGTAGTTTCGCTATATATTCTTCGCTCATGCCTTCGCTCATTGTACTCTTGCTTGGATAGTGCAATTCTAGCTGTATCACTCAATTGCACTCGTAACAATGGCCAAAGAGTAGGTTTCAATCAAGTCAAACTTGTGTACAGTGTAATAACAAGTAGTGAAACTCCAGAAAGCACACAAAACAGAGAGCAGAGCAGAAGAACACAGCAGCCGTACGGAAGAACATGCACGAACTCAGACACACGACCTAGCCAGCCACTGCATCGCAGTGCAGTGCAGTCAGACGAGCTATTCCCTACAAGACACTATGTGAGGCCTGCCGCCCGAAACCCACTCCGTGACCAGGCCACACCCACAACTAAAGACCCTTTCGACGAGTGCAACAGCGGATGTTGCCTGCATACGATTTCCCTTCCACGCCACCCTTCAGCCAACCACAAGCTAGAAGCACATTCTACCAGCCTCCCGTCTCTCACGCCTTCCTTATTGTCCGCTGGAGAAGGCAGGACGGAGAGCAGGAGTCTTATTTATCGCACACGAACCAGAAGAGACTAACAGCGAAGCCCACTCGCGGAGAGACCATGTGAAGGAGAAAAGGTCGAGAGAGCCCGACGAGGAGGTGGTGGAGTTGAGACCATGTGAATGCAGCAACTGACGGCAACCGCTGCTGCTGCGACACCCGCACTTTCCTGGGCACCAGCGGCCCCACACCACTGCCGCTTATTCCTCGTTTATTACTGGCCCCAGCCGTTGCATGTCATGCGCAGATGAAAAGAGGAGTACGTTCGAAATGGAGCGCGAAGGCCAGGGTTCAGAAGGAGCACGAGAGTGCGCGCCGTGGGCTTTGAGCACTAATGACGTCCGATGTTAGCGCGACTGAGAGATTGTGAGTGAGAGCGAAGGGAGGAGGAGGTGAATGAGTTGATACAGACAGCGGAAGGTACGGAGACCGAGACAGCCTCCAGCAGCCATGGCGACCCCTGACTCGCCGTCCATGTTTCCATTTACAGGAACGACGTCTGCACCGACATCAGGTGCCACTCAAACTCCTCCTCAGACGGCAGCGGCTGCTCGCCGTCAGATTCGCCGGCGCCGTCACAGCCTTCCACGTCCTGGCCGTCAGAATCGCCAGAGGCACTGCTGCCGGAGGAAGACAGGGTGTCGAAGTAAGCATCGTCGAAGCTGCCGCTGCTGCCGCTGCTAGCGCTGCTCATGCTGCTGCTGCGCTTCAGCTCCTGCCCGCTCTCCTCGCCGTCCGACTCCCCACCAGCACCAACGGCACCCAGCTTCTTCATCAGGCCGACTGGAACGTCGTCGCCGCAGCAGCGGTTGAACCACGCCTCGAATTCGTGCATCGAACCGGGATGAACCTTCTCCCCAGCTTCTCCTCCCGTGGGCGCGGCAGGGCTCGCAACCTTGCTCACTCCGGTCGACGGCATGGTGAGGGTGGACGCGGGAATGTCCTTCTGAGCTTCCGCGCTCGGCTTTCCAGTGTGCTGCGATGCTGCTGCTCGCGCGGTAGCTGCAATGGGGGTGGAGGGCGCGTTGCGGGTTGAGGCTGCCGCCATTTGGTGCAAGAGCTGCGCGTTTTGTTGTCGCTGCTGCTGCAAAAGCATCAGGAGCACATGGCGCTGCTGCTGCTCCCACTGCTGAAACATCATCTGCTGCTGGAGGTGCATCTGTTGCTGCATCTTGTTCTGCTGAGGCTGATTCGCCATCCTACCTTGATTGCTGTTGACAAGGCCAACGGGCGGCATCCTGTTTCCGCCGATGGCGGCGGCGCGTAGAAGGGCGGCCGTCGCGGCCATTTGGCGGCAGCGAGCTTGTTCGAGCAGCAATGCGGAGGGTGGCGCGGGCTTGTCTTTTGACGCGTTAAGCATCCCTTGCGAGCTCGCTGCGGCAGCGGCGGCGGCAGCGGCAGCTTGGGCATACTGGAAGTTGAGCTGCTGCTGGTGTTGCTGCTGCTGCATGGCCAGCATGTATTGTTGGAGCATCTGTGGCGAGCCGGCGGATTGACCAAAGGGTTGCACGGGGGAGGGTCTGGGACCGGCGAGCGGCGAGCGAGGGGCCATTGTTGATTGAAATGCTGTTGAGAGCAGCGGTGTTTGCTGCTGAGGTTATGTGGCTTCTAAAGATGACGATGCTCGCGACGTTGGCGCTGTTGTGTCTTTTGAAGAATGCCAGGTCAGATGCTAGGAACGGAAGGGATGCGACTGTGAGCTGGAAATGTGGTTGGCTTGAATTGTTGTGTGTTGCTGTTGGAGAATGAGAGAGCACGGGAGGCTTTGTACTAGCTCCAACAATGTTTCAGTGCCGAAACGCTCGATGCGCTTTCTCGCTGTCGACAAGGGAAACTCTTGGTTGCACCGGTTCGCCTTGCGTGAATTGCGGCGTCGGACCTTCCTTGCTGCTTGTTTCTCGAACCAAACAGGGCGCTGAATGTGACGCTGGATGGCCCGTCTATAATTGTACCAACCTGCTGGGTGCTTGCCTGTCGCATGGGCTCCGAATTTCGAGAAGGGGAAAAAACTAGCTACCGCGAGCCGGATTTTGTGTAGGCCGGAAGTGTGCGACTCATTTCTGACGTCGTCTGCGACTCTGATCTGCGTCGCTAGCGACCCGGTCGAATAAATTTCCGAAATCATTGGCGGGTTGTGTCATGTCCAACGGGAATATATGTGAAAGTTTCCGAATCGCGCTCCCCTGCCTCCCGAGGCAAGGGCAGGCCCATGGGACACGAGGCAATGGGCAGGGCAGCAATCATACTTGTCGTCCAATGCTCAACACCGATTGATTCGGGTCGCAATTTTGCCTATGGTTGTCCGAACATGACGGCTACACGTTAGTCTGGCGGGCTGCGTGTATTGCTAAAAGTGTTTCCCTTTGCTTTGATGTGACCGAATCGCGCTTCCCACCCGTTGAAATGGAACCGTGGACCAATAACTGTGCTGTGTTCGCTGGCTTGCGAAAACTCTCGCCAGCCTCCAAACCGAATCGACAAGGAAACATAGCCGGCTGTGGCGAGAAACTGCGACAAGAGGAAGGAAACACACCGCATTGGTTAGCCCATTTCATCCCAACACAATTATCAGATACCTGAAACACACGAGTGAAGACAATTATGTGGGGGCTTGCGCTGAGTTGTTGAGGGAAAAGCCGAATGGTTACGGAGTGAACCTTGGTTAGCTATTGACAATCATCATTTCTGACTCAGATCTAACAAATACTGGTGCTACCTTTCCCATAGTTGTACCGAAACTACTCTTTCCAGGAGCACACTTGAGTAAGCATGTGCACTATTCAGGTCAAAGCACTCAATTTCTTGCAAACGAGAAAAATAAATTATGAAAGAGGCTTTGGTGGAATAGGACGAGCAGGACAATTTTGTTCAGGCTCCTGCTACATCGGTCAGTAGACTAGGTACTGTACCGGGACCGTATCTGTGGTCAGGGGGAGGGGAGGGAGGGGGGCTCGCTGGCTGACTGACAAGTGAGAACGCCAGATGTGTTGCTTCTCACGAGCATCCCTTTTTAACCTCATTTTCAGATTGGAAACGATGGAACAACAAGAAGCCTAGTTGTTAGCAAATTGCTACAAGCCATGTTACAAGCAGCGGCATGCTTGACAAAATAACATGCAGTGCAACATGTTCAATCATAATTCCCCACCGTCTGCCTTCCCCATCACCGGCAGCACCCCATGCCTCGCCATATCCGCTCGAATCTGCTCTTGAAACATCTCCCTCCCTCGCGCTCTCAACTCTGTCCTGTACGCTGTGCTGCGAAACGCCTTCTTGATATCCACCCCCGGGCATGGGTGGTACCAAAGGCGCACAGAATACCCGCACTGCAGCGCCGTGCGCACAGACACTCTCCTCTCGTGGTAATCCCTGCCAATGACAGCCTGGCAGCCACACTCCCCTGTGTCGGCAAAGAACTCGCGGCACGGGGCCCAGGTAGGGGGGCGCTGCACCAGGTGCAGGGCTTTAAGGAGCTCAGGCCAGATCCAGAAGCACCCTGAGCCGCACACTCGGATGAGCGTATCTAGCTTGTTTGCATCGCCGTACGCCACCCCTGCGTGTAGGTTGGGTTGGATGGTGGTGGGGTGGTGGGAGGGTGTAAGGGGCGGTGGAGAACGGTGGATGTCAGTACCATGGGGATGATCATCAAGTAGAGGAGGAAGGCAGAGGAGTGAGAGAGTTGTGAAAGAGAGGACGCATGGAGAGACAGGGAGAGGGCTGTAGTCACAGACAGATGCAAGGCCAGCCCATGGATAGTGGTAACAGAAGTGGTGCAAGCAACGTGTTGTATTCTTTAGGCACCTCAAGAGCAGACAGCAGTGAGTGCGAGTACCTGCACTGCGACTCGAAAGCAGCGCCTCCTCTACTGATAAACAACAGCGGCATTGCTGAATGCGTCGTGAATCTGTGCCACGCCACTAACAATCAACAGCTTCTCCCTTATAGATACCCATGAATAAGCGGCCTCTCCCCCATCTACGTTGATGGTACTTTTGAGAATTCTCAAAAGATACCCACGAATAAGCAGCTTCTCCCATGCCGTGTACCTATCTTGCCCCCACTCACTCACCCGTCACCCAGGGTGATAAGCAAGCCTGCCCACCTTCCTTGAAGCGGTGAGGGGAGTCGTTGCGGAAGGCCACTTGGCTCTCCCACTGCCCCGGGGCGTGCGGGCGGATGTGGCGGAAGAGAGACGAGGCGTTCAGCCATGCTGGCTGCTGCACGCTCTGCACCTTCACCATCGCCACCTGGTCGGCCGGTTGATTGATTGGTTGATTGGTGGGCGCGGCAGGGAGGGAACAGCAGAGCAGAGGGGGCGTGTGGAAAGATGTGGGGAGATAAGGGGAGATGTGGAAAGCTTGAATAAAAGCGGGGTTTTGCAAGGGGATGTGGCGAGATGTGGAGAGCTGTGGGGAGACGTGTGGAGACGTGTGATGCCACACAACAAGGTTCACAGTCAGCGGCACAAGAGACACAGAATGCACAGATAAGAACGGGGTGTTTTGAGACGTCTGAAAACATCTCTGTTCACAAGAGACACAGAATGCACAGATAAGAACGGGGTGTTTTGAGACGTCTCAAAACATCTCTGTTCACAAGAGACACAGAATGCACAGATAAGAACGGGGTGTTTTGAGACGTCTCAAAACATCTCTGTTCACAAGAGACGCAGAATGCACAGATAAGAACGGGGTGTTTTGAGACGTCTCAAAACATCTCTGTTCACAAGAGACGCAGAATGCACAGATAAGAACGGGGTGTTTTGAGACGTCTCAAAACATCTCTGTTCACAAGAGACACAGAATGCACAGATAAGAACGGGGTGTTTTGAGACGTCTCAAAACATCTCTGTTCACAAGAGACGCAGAATGCACAGATAAGAACGGGGTGTTTTGAGACGTCTCAAAACATCTCTGTTCACAAGAGACGCAGAATGCACAGATAAGAACGGGGTGTTTTGAGACGTCTCAAAACATCTCTGTTCACAAGAGACGCAGAATGCACAGATAAGAACGGGGTGTTTTGAGACGTCTCAAAACATCTCTGTTCACAAGAGACGCAGAATGCACAGATAAGAATGGGGTGTTTTGAGACGTCTCAAAACATCTCTGTTCACAAGAGACGCAGAATGCACAGATAAGAACGGGGTGTTTTGAGACGTCTCAAAACATCTCTGTTCACAAGAGACGCAGAATGCACAGATAAGAACGGGGTGTTTTGAGACGTCTCAAAACATCTCTGTTCACAAGAGACGCAGAATGCACAGATAAGAACAGGGTATTTTGAGACGTCTCAAAACATCTCTGTTCACAAGAGACGCAGAATGCACAGATAAGAACGGGGTGTTTTGAGACGTCTCAAAACATCACTGTTCACAAGAGACGCAGAATGCACAGATAAGAACGGGGTGTTTTGAGACGTCTCATCTCTGTTCACAAGAGACACAGAATGCACAGATAAGAACATGGTGTTTTGAGACGTCTCAAAACATCTCTGTTCACAAGAGACGCAGAATGCACAGATAAGAACGGGGTGTTTTGAGACGTCTCAAAACATCTCTGTTCACAAGAGACACAGAATGCACAGATAAGAACAGGGTGTTTTGAGACGTCTTAAAACATCTCTGTTCACAAGAGACACAGAATGCACAGATAAGAACGGGGTGCGATGCAGTGCCAACCCACCCCACCCCAGCAGGTTGTAGAGACACCTCTACCTCCTCCTCGCACACCCCCCTGCTCCCACCCACGCACACCTTGAACACGGTGAGGCCCTGAGCCTCGTAGCGGTCAGCAGCAGCCACGATGCGGTGCCATGCCTCGCGGGTGAGGAACTGGTTGCCGTCCCACGGCAGGATCCACCTCGCCCCCGATGCCTGCCCGTGCTCCAGCATCGCGTTGCGCGCCTCGTTCTGCGCTGCACGGAGGGTGGCGGGGAGGGGTTGGGACAGGATGGAGCAGCGGTGAGTGTGATGGGAAAATAGAGGGAAGGGAACGTGGGACTCATCCCCGCTGCCCTCCCGTGCTCCAGCATCGCATTGCCGCGCCCCGTTCTGCACTGTGAGGAGGGCGGTGGGAGGGGGGAGGAGAGGGGTGCAGGGAGAAGAAACGAAGGACGGGGTAGGGAATGGGGCGGGGCAGAGCAGCAGCGGGTGTCTGTAGTGGGCAGCGTGGGAAGGGAGCATGGGAGTCGTTTGAAGGGGTACAGAGTGGCAATGGGGAGAACCCCGAGCGAGCGGAAGAATTCTGGAAAAGTGGGTTAAGTTGAAGAAAGGTGTGCTGAAGGAGAAGGATAGAGAGAGATATGGCGGCACTGAAATTGAACGAAGTATATGCGTGACTCAATGTTCAGGTGTGCTTCGGGTGTGCTTCAGAGAAGTGTCAGGTGTGGAAGCTGAGATGGCACCATGAATTCCACCTATCCATACATCCATCCATCCATCCAAGACACTCGCATAAAAAGTGCCTAGGATGCACAACATCGATGCCTGCCTATGGCATAATTTGATGTTATATCATGCCAACCTTGAAAAGAGCTGCACTCAGCAAGTCGAGAGAACGAGGCACGGCTAGCTGTGGCTGTGCCCATGTGCTCTGCACTGCAGCTCTGCTCACCTGATACGGCTGCACCCCATTGGTCCTCGGGAAGCTGGGCCACGTGGCTGTAGTTGATTCGCCGCACTATGATGTCCTGATGGGCGGCGCACAGTGCGTGTGGTGCATGGGACAGGGGATTGATTGGCAAGCAGAGAAGATGAAGGGTCAAACAGTGGCGAGAGGAAGAAAGGGGGAAGGGAGAACAGGTACGAATGGGATTTGGGGGAGAGGAGAGGTGGGGGGGGGAGAAATAGAAGGGGGGGAGACAAAGGGAGGGTGTGGGCGGGAAGGAGGAAGTTGAGGTGAGGACAAGAATGCGGTGAGCTGAGGAGATGCAATGAGAGCTGCGTTGACTAGGCGCCATGGCCAGAGCCGTGCCAGGCAGGACTGTGCTGTGCTGGGTCGATGATGACACACATCATGTGCCATCTTCCAATGTTGCTGGGTTGAGTGGCTGCAGTGGGTGCAGTGGGTGCAATGGGTGCACGGATGCACACAGAGGAAACTGCGAATGGGAAGGAATGAGAGGCGGTAAGGGGGTGCTAGAGCACCCAGCAGCAGCAACACCTGGCAGTGCGCCTCTCCCCACCACTCCCTCCCCGCTTCCAACACACGCATCTCCCCTCCACTCCACCTCAGCCCATGCTCCCCTTGTTCCTCCACACTATCCTTTCTCCTCCTCGGACTGTCCGTCCTTACCTTTCCCCCATCGTGCAGCTCCCTGCATCGCCCCGCACCTCGCCTCCACCTCTTTCTCTCCCCTGCTCTCATTGCTCTCTCGCGCTCTCCTCCTGCTCTGCTCTCCCCCCTTTCTGTCCCCCTCACCTCGTCCCCGTACCCGTGCGCCTTGAGTGCGCGCACCACCAGTTGCTCCGAAGTTTCGTTCACCACGTTGTTCACCACCCACACGCGCCGGCACCCCGCCAGCCGCCTCGGCTCGTGCTGTAACGCGTACAGCGTGTTCTCGTACAGCTGCCCGTCGCACTGCAACGGCGGGATATCGTTGCCGATCATGCGGTAGAGGATGAATCGCGGCGGGGATTGCGGAATGCTGCCCGGTACAGCCACGTCACCGTCCCCGTCACCGTCACTGTCATCGTTCTGAGGCGCCACGTGGCCAGGTTCTGCGAAGCCGGCGTCCCAGTCGTCGCCAAACCACGTGGCGAGCCACACCAGCAGGAATGCGCCCACGCCGATCACCGCAAGGCGTCGCACGAACTCCCCCCGCTTGGCCCGCCGCGAAGACCGCGAGGCGCATGCCGTAACGGTCGAGCAGAACGCGGAGGAGTGGGCGGCCGGAGTGGTTGCCGGGGGCATGGCGGGAATGGCGGATTGAGGCCGTCCGTTGAGTCGAGAGGGAAGGCGAGGCGACGGGATCGAGATCATACTCAAACGGTGTCACCCCTAGTACTGTCGCTTCGCTTTAGAGCTACCTGAATTTGATTTAAAGCAACACACGCAGAGTGCAATTGAGCGGAAATTTTGTAGAAGCTAAAACCAACAAGAACCCGTATGAAGACTTAAAAAGATTGTTGTGTACAAAAATAGAAAATCTTGTTTTATCACTTTTATTTCATAATTAATCTATATTCCCCTCCAGTATTCTTTCTGTGGTAATTTTGCAAGCGCGGTTGTTGATGAGATTTGCGCCATCTCATTCCGCCTTCAGTAGCCGTGTAATGTTCCGTTTCTCCTAACATTTCACGAATTTGGTCATAACGCAGATGATGGGAAAATGGCACCCTTCGATGATTGCGTGTGGAGGACCCTGTGACATGCTCTTGTGACAAAAAGAGGCGATACTAAAAGAGCAAAATCCTTGCCCTGAAATTACCTCCTTTCAATGCACACCACCTGCTTCCATGGCGCCTCCGCCACTCATTCATGCTTCCTGCTGGACTCCCGCTAAATTCCTTCCTTGCCTTCCCCTTCGCATCCCTGCAGCTTCCCCGCGCGGACGGCGCATCACAACAGCTGGGGGATCCCTCCGCTTGCCCGTCGCCGCTGCCGCCGTCACCGCTCACCGCCGCTGCAACGCCTTCCCCTCGCCAACAGCAGTCGCGCTGTCCGCCGCGCGACCTCTCGCTTCTCCGGCGACCCCGCGGGCCGTTCGCGTCCGCGCCGCATCCGCGCGCCTCTCGTCGCCCTTCACCCGCGCCCCGTCCTCTCTCCGCTTCACCAAGCGCGCGTGCCAACAGCTCTCCAACCCCCACCTCTTCCCCGTTCCTTCACCTTCGTTACTCAATTCCTCCCGCCGAACCTCCCGCGTCAGCAGGTCTGGCCGCGTCTTGCGGCCCGGCCGCGCACGCGCTCTCCTCGCCCCCTTGCTCGCCGCCATCGGCGTTTCCTTCGCTGCCGTCCTCGCCGCGCTTCCGGCTGCCCTGACGGCCGTCTTCGCCGCGCTGCCGGCTGCCCTGACGGCCGTTTCCGCCGCTACAACCGCCATCGCATCGAACGCGACAGTCTCGTCGGTAGCACTCCCGCTGCTACAGCTTCTGGCGGGCGTGGGGGGCGCAGTAGGAGTGGTCACTCTGGGACTCATCTGGACCGTACTGGACCGTTTGTTCTGCCTTATCCTTCTCCTCAACTTCGCCGCGGGTCTTTTAAGCATCGCGCGGGACTCGTACCGGCTGAGCCACGCGCGCCGCCGCAGCCTGCAGGACCCAACGCTCGTGACGATATGGGCCGCGGAGCGCGACGAGCGCGACGCGGACGACGGGATCAGTGAGGGCATGGCAGCGAGTGCGAGGAAGATTTTTCTAGACACAGGCGACCCGCGGTTTGACTGGTTCGTGCCGGGGGTGGTGAGCCTGATCCCCGGAGTGAACGGCGCGGCATGGGTGCTGGCATCATGGCACTCGTCGCCCTTCCTCTCACGCGGTCTCAAGAGACACCTCGCCTTAAACGCTGCTGTCTACGGGCTGCCTGGCCTTGCCTCCCTCCTGATCTTCGCCCTCGGCGTCCCCTCCCCCACCTCCCTGCTCCTCTCCCCGTTCTCCTCCCTCGCGTCGGCCATCCTCTCGCCGTTCAGCCAATCAGCGGCTGCCACTGCAGCAGGATCAGCAGCAGCGGCGGCAGCAGGGGGGGTGACGGTGGTGGGGTACGGGAGCAGCAGTGCGTGGTGGGTGAGTGTGGTGCTGGGGGCGGTGCAGTTGCAGCTGGAGCGAGTGCGGGCTGTGAGCATGCAGGAGAGCCGGCAGGTGCTCAGAGCGTTTGGGCGTGGGCTCAAGAGAACGAGGGAGAGGCGACTAGGACAGAGGAAATGGATGGACTGGGGAGTGGAGGAGGAGGAGGAGACGGAGGAGGAGGAGGAGGGGGTTGATAGGGAACGGGAGGGGCGGTATGGCGAGAATGGGAGGTTGGAGGGAGTAAGTGCGGCCATGGGAGGGGCTTCTGGAGGTGGGCGAGCAGGGGGTGCTGGCAAGGATGGGAATGCTCCAAGGGGTAGCAGCGGCAATATCATCATCAGCAGCAGCAGCAGCAGCAGCAGGGGAGGTGGGGACATGTGGATGGAGGCAGAGGAGCGCAGGCGCCTGCAGGAGTTTGATGCGAAGCTCATGGGGAGGCCTCTGCAGCAAATGGGTATGCCGTTGCCTAGCAGCCATGCACAGAGTGGTGATAGCGGTGACAGTGGTGACAGTGGTTAGGCATGCTCCCAGTGTGGAATGTGTGCTGCCTGCCGTGGGGCAACTTGTGAGGCGCCTCAAAAGGCTGTCACGGGGCACACCGGGCATGTAAGCAGGGTGCTCCATGTGCCATTCCTCACCATCGTTTCTCTGCAAGTGTACGAGTGACCTCTCACCTCTTTTGTTCCTTCTCCTCCTGCTGCCTCTTTGCTGCATCACCAGGGCCTCCAGCAGCATGGACAACGGATGACGTGGCAACATGGCTCACAGCAGAGGGCTTTGCCTGCTATGCACAGGCCTTCCTTCGCCATGCTGTCTGTGGCCAGGTGCCTTACCTTCCTTGTCGGTCTGTGCTGCCCTGCGCTTTGCTCCGCCTTGGTCCCTTTCCTAGAAGCAACCTTCTGGATGCATTGCGCCATCTTTGCTCCTGTATCTCCCTTCCCCATCCGCCACATTTTCAATAACGCCATCCGTCCTTTCGGTCGTCTCTCCTCCGCGTGTGTGGTGCATGTGTGCATGTGTTCATGTATGCACGCGTGCATGTGTGCATGTGTACATGTGTGCATGTGTACATGTGTGCATGGCGGCATGTGGTGCTGGCAGGTGCTGTTTGAGCTGACAGCAGAGGACCTGAGGGATGACTTGGGGGTGCGCACGCTAGGCGACAGGAAGAGGCTGCTCGCAGCCATTGCACAGCTCAGACTGTGGTTTGGCACAGGGCAATCGTGAGCGCATGCAGGCGTGCCTGCACAAGCTCACTTGGAGGAACCGGCAGGTAGCAGTTATTCTATACTTACCGGTACCTAGGTGATCCGGTTGGTTAGTAGGATATTAGGGATTACGGTAGCGTCGTTGCTGTAGTTCCCCGAAGCATTAATATTATAATTTTTAAACACACATGTAGTGTTTTTTAAAATTGTGTATTGTGAAAGCGAAGCTGCTTGTACTGCACAATTGGCATCGTCGAAGCGCGCTAAACGCCCTTCTCCAACTACAAAAACCGTGGGTTGGAGCTCATTTCCCTCCACCCACGTTTCTCAATTTTCAAACGGCTCACTCAACATTCCCACCACCCACCCCAGTGTAAACCGCCTTGCTAATGCCACTTGGATAGGGTACATAATAGCTAGTGTTATTAGTCCGCACTAGCTTATGTCGAACGATGATGCAAATGTTGTAATACGCCATTTGTAATGAGAACGATGCCAATTGATAAGAAAGAAAGCAAGCGTTCTCAATTGTGCATTTTCGACTAGCTGTAGTTATTGAGTAATGTATCGTACTCGCCCGTACACAGCACCCTTACGATGTGGTATGTGTTTCATGGCATTTGCCAGGAAACTCGAAAGGAGGAGGTGGGGAAGGGGGGACACGTTTTGTAGGCTGGAAACAAGACAGACATCCAGTGCTGAAGGATTCACTGTAATAGAAATGGTCTAAGTAAAATGATAATTCTGACGCTGAAATATCAACCTACGGTACTGTAATTTATCTAGGTACCTCAGCTCAGGGCATTACCCATTCGCCGGATGGACCTAAATGCATCCACCACCCAGTCCATTGCTATTACCGTTATTTTGTTTAGTTAGCCTTACCAGAACCAGTGTTACATCTGAAGGGGAGTAAAGGAAGCGGTGTATGTTGCGTTTAGTGTCTCCTCCGCAGAGCAGTGCGCAAGTGTCAGCTAGACGTCATTGGCATCTTTAGGTCTGGAAATTTCCCAATTCGGGATTATTAGGTCGAACTTGTTGCGCCATGGATCATCAAGCTTCTAGCATCGTATAGTAGGTTGCCCGGTAGCCACGCCCAGATCTACTCTCGCAGTCGCAGACGCGTTTCCGCGGGCCCCGCGCTGCGAAGCTCTAATCGTGCATCCTGCCAGGCTCCACGTGTCACGTTCGCGTCATCAAAGTCATCATGATGACTGCGGCCAGTCCCCCCGCGTATCCCTGTCCATCCCTCCCGCGCCTCCTCTCCCTCCTCCCCACCCTCGTCGTCCTCCTCCTCGCCCTCTCCCTCCCCGCGGCGCGCGGCGAGATCTCTGACGCGCTGCTGGAGGCGGACAAGCGCGCGATCGTGCTGTTCGACACGTTCGGGTTCGAATCCAACGGTCACGTTGACATGAACGTGTCGTCTGTCGAGGTGCTTGTGCCGGAGAACGCGGCGGCGGCCGACAAGACGTTGATGGGATTTTTTTTAACGACCGCGGAGGACGAGTTAGAGCTTCAGAACGACTTCCAGGCGGGACACTGCGTGCTCGCCAACGCGCACGTGCACCGCCTCTTCACGCTGCAGGTGCGCGCCGTGCTCCGCGCGCCGTGCAGGTGCGTGCGCTGCGCCGCTTCGTGTAGGTGCCGCGCATCCGACAGGGATTTGCCATGTGACGAAAATTTGCCATGCGACAGAAATTTGCCATGCGACAGCGGATTGCCATGCGACAGCGGGCTGCCATGCGACAGGGAGTTGCTATTCAACAGACAATTTTTATGCGACAGAGGATGTCCTTGGGACTGATCGAACCAATGGGGTGGGTAGGCGTGACGATCCCCCAGCGGCCCGTCCTTTCTTGACGGGTGATGATACTCTTATGGGATCCGTGGTGCTTCCCCTCACCATGGAATGGGAGGTGTTATAGATTCAGCACACAAGGCATGTGAGATTCCGCTACCGCCTCGCCTCCGTGTTTCCTTGCTCATTCCATGCTCTTTTAATTACTATACTTTCCTTCGTCCTTCGTTCCCCCCTTTCCCTTCACCTCGTTCCTCTCGTCTAAGCCACCCTCACACTCCTATCCCCCCCCTCCTCTACCCGCTCTCCCTGGCTCCACCCCTCCCTGGCACACATCTCCAGGACGTGGTATCACAGCAGCAGGGTCCAGACAAGCCCTTCACCTTGCGCTACACAGTGCCCGACGCCAAGGAGTACTCTCTCTTCTTTGCCAACTGCCAGCCGCACGCGCGCGTCTCCCTCAACTGCTCCTTCGCCCTCTACAACGTCGCTCCCAGCGGCCGCATCGACTACCTCCCGGGCGGCAAAACCCAGCTGCCCATGCTCTACAGCGCCTTCTACCTCGCGTACATGGTGGCCGGCATCGTTTGGATTTATCTGTGCCACAAGCACTGGGCGAGAACCCACCGGATTCACATTCTGATGGGCGTGCTGGTGCTGCTGAAAGCGTTCACTGTGCTGTCACAGGCGGGGGAGTATGCGTATATCCGCGCCACGGGGGACCCGCAGGGGTGGAACATTGCTTTCTACGTGTTCAGCTTCTTCCGAGGAATCATGCTGTTCACGGTGATAGTGTTGATTGGCACGGGGTGGTCCGTGGTGAAGCCGTACCTGCAGGACAAGGAGAAGAAGGTCATCCTCATTGTCATTCCGCTGCAGGTGAGGGAGGTGGGAGGAGGGGGAACGGGGGGTGTGAGGAACTTAGGGGAAGGTGTGCCGAGCGAGAGTGTTTGATTTTGAACCCATGCTAACGTTGCTTGTCAAGAAGGTCCTTTGCCATATTATTTCCGTTGTGGAATTCGTTTTGCAACAGTAGGGAGCTAGCGTGCTTATGCTGCCCCCATTCGGTTTGTATTTCCACTCTGATTCACCTATTAACCTCCTGCACTGTTCCTGCTAAGGTCTTTGCGAACATCGCAACAATCATCCTGGACGAGAGCGGGCCGTCGTCGCAGTCATGGTTCACGTGGCGTGACATCTTCCACCTGCTCGACATCCTCTGCTGCTGCGCCGTCTTCTTCCCCATCATCTGGTCCATCAAGCACCTCCGGGAGGTTGCGCATTCCGACGGCAAGGCAGCACGCATCGTTGCCAAGCTACAGCTCTTCCGGCACTTTTATGTGCTCGTGGTTTGTTACATATACTTCACGCGCATCGTGGTGTACGTTTTGCGGTCCACCATGCCGTATCAGAACGCATGGACAGCGGATTTGGCGGGAGAATTGGTAACGCTGGTGTTTTATTGCGTTACGGGTTACCAGTTCCGGCCAATGGAAGAGAACCCGTTTCTCGCCGTGCATGATGATGACACGGGAGGGTCGGACGGGATAGAGATGGATAAGGGCGCAAGCAAGCCGCTCAAGGCAGGTGACGACGAGGACGATGAGTTTGACCTGTGAGCCACGAAATGGCACATTTCTTGCTATAACTCGCGCTGGTTGGTTGGGCCGTGCATTGCATGTTCTTTGAATTTACGTAATCAATTCTTAAAACGTGGTGTACCAACTTGAAAAGGACTTGTAGTTTACAGTGAAAAGGAACGAGATGGTGGAGAGAGTACACTAGCAACATGTCCTCTGCACACGCACACCTGGTCACCGACCAGCCTCGTATAGCGAATTCGCCAGCAGACCAAGGCTTGAGTAGCCTCGGAGTTGCGGTCGTGTTTCATTTCGTTACAGAACCTCCGATTCAGCTCTTCAGCTGTGATTGTTTTGACCCGTCCCCTGAATTTCAATGTGACTTCGTGTCTTCCGAACCGAAGTTTCACGCCATGCCAAAGGTCCGGGTCGCGTCGCGCGTGTCCCTAAATTCAGTACCACTTCCCTAGCCCACATCGAAACTGGCCCGTGTTTACGGTGTTGGTTCACAGTCTTTCCTGACCTCGAATTCATATCGTTGACTTCGGTTGAGTAATACAGGTTGTTGCCGCAGGCCGTCCTCACCTCACTCCCTTATTGCCTGCCGCCAAACGGCGAGTATAAGACACGTGAGAGGGAAAAAGTAATTTTCGCATTTACACGTTGTGCGCTGGAGATTTTTAATGCGAATAGCTGAAATCTTCTTGTTGTGCTTCACAGATCTGACTCTGATTTTGCACCTGCTTTGACCAGAATGCGGTTTCCACAAACGCATCAATTATCAAAGTGATACGTTGAATGATGCGGATTTACGGTAAAACTTACAGAAATCCGAGATTCTCTGGAAAGATGCTTTAGAGGACACGAACGGCTTTATTATGAACGACCTCTCCCGGACTTCTGCGTGTCAAATCGGGGTTAAGTATGAAGCCCTGCGAGACGAATCGCGACTTGCATCTTTCTCACGCGCCGTTAATGCTGCTCCGTGGAACAAGCAAGGCGGCGTCGTCATGGGGCCATCTGCACCCCATCTACGTGCTCTTCTTCCTTGTTAACGCCTGCACACTCTTCGGTCTCGTGTGGTTCAACACTACCTTCACCACCACCCCTACCACCACCAGCAGAAACAGCAGCAGCAGCAGCAGCAGCAGGAGCAGCAGCAGCCCCACCATCCCGACCACCCTATCCGTAACGATTGGCCGCAGGAGGGGCGGGGGGGAGCAGGATGCGGGAGGTGTGGCGGAAGGGGTGGCGGAAGGGGTGGCGGAAGGGGTGGATGGGGGTAAGAGGGGGGCGGAGACGGGGAGCACGGGGAGGAGCGGGGCGGAGAAGGGGGGCGGGTGGGAAGTGGGCGCAGAGGAGAAGTTTCTGTGGTACGCGTCGCACAGCGGATTCAGCAACCAGGTGAGGGGGACCATGCCGCTATGCGCGCAAGTGGAGAGAAGCAGACGGACTGAGAGCAAGCGGAGTGGGAGTAGATTAATGCTCCCCCCAATGCTCCCCCCAATGCTCCCCCCAATGCTGCCTCCAATGCTGCCCCCAATGCTCCCCCCAATGCTCCCCCCAATGCTCCCCCCAATGCCCCCCCCAATGCTCCCCCCAATGCTGCCCCCAATGCTCCCCCCAGTGCTGCCCCCAATGCTCCCCTTAATGCTGCCCCCAATGCTCCCCCCAATGCTGCCTCCAATGCTGCCCCCAATGCTCCCCCCAATGCTCCCCCCAATGCTCCCCCCAATGCCCCCCCCAATGCTCCCCCCAATGCTGCCCCCAATGCTCCCCCCAGTGCTACCCCCAATGCTGCCCCCAATGCTCCCCCCAATGCCCCACCCAATGCTCCCCCCAATGCTGCCCCCAATGCTCCCCCCAGTGCTGCCCCCAATGCTGCCCCCAATGCTCCCCCCAGTGCTGCCCCCAATGCTGCCCCCAATGCTCCCCCCAGTGCTTCCCCCAATGCTGCCCCCAATGCTCCCCCCAGTGCTGCCCCCAATGCTCCCCCCAATGCTCCCCCCAATGCTGCCTCCAATGCTGCCCCCAATGCTCCCCCCAATGCTCCCCCCAATGCTCCCCCCAACGCCCCCCCCAATGCTCCCCCCAATGCTGCCCCCAATGCTCCCCCCAGTGCTGCCCCCAATGCTCCCCTTAATGCTGCCCCCAATGCTCCCCCCAATGCTGCCTCCAATGCTGCCCCCAATGCTCCCCCCAATGCTCCCCCCAATGCTCCCCCCAATGCCCCCCCCAATGCTCCCCTCAATGCTGCCCCCAATGCTCCCCCCAGTGCTACCCCCAATGCTGCCCCCAATGCTCCCCCCAATGCCCCACCCAATGCTCCCCCCAATGCTGCCCCCAATGCTCCCCCCAGTGCTGCCCCCAATGCTGCCCCCAATGCTCCCCCCAGTGCTGCCCCCAATGCTGCCCCCAATGCTCCCCCCAGTGCTTCCCCCAATGCTGCCCCCAATGCTCCCCCCAGTGCTGCCCCCAATGCTGCCCCCAATGCTCCCCCCAGTGCTGCCCCCAATGCTGCCCCCAATGCTCCCCCCAGTGCTGCCCCCAATGCTGCCCCCAATGCTCCCCCCAGTGCTGCCCCCAATGCTGCCCCCAATGCTCCCCCCAATGCTCCCCCCAATGCTCCCCCCAATGCTCCCCCTAATGCCCCCCCCAATGCTCCCCCCAATGCTGCCCCCAATGCTCCCCCCAATGCTCCCCCCAATGCTCCCCCCAATGCTGCCCCCAATGCTCCCCCCAATGCTGCCTCCAATGCTGCCCCCAATGCTCCCCCCAATGCTCCCCCCAATGCTCCCCCCAATGCCCCCCCCAATGCTCCCCCCAATGCTCCCCCCAATGCCCCCCCCAATGCTCCCCCCAGTGCTGCCCCCAATGCTGCCCCCAATGCTCCCCCCAGTGCTGCCCCCAATGCTGCCCCCAATGCTCCCCCCAATGCTGCCCCCAATGCTCCCCCCAGTGCTGCCCCCAATGCTGCCCCCAATGCTCCCCCCAGTGCTGCCCCCAATGCTGCCCCCAATGCTCCCCCCAGTGCTGCCCCCAATGCTGCCCCCAATGCTCCCCCCAGTGCTGCCCCCAATGCTGCCCCCAATGCTTCCCCCAGTGCTGCCCCCAATGCTGCCCCCAATTCTCCCCCCAGTGCTGCCCCCAATGCTGCCCCCAATGCTCCCCCCAGTGCTGCCCCCAATGCTGCCCCCAATGCTCCCCCCAGTGCTGCCCCCAATGCTGCCCCCAATGCTCCCCCCAATGCTCCCCCCAATGCTCCCCCCAATGCTCCCCCCAATGCCCCCCCCAATGCTCCCCCCAATGCTGCCCCCAATGCTCCCCCCAGTGCTGCCCCCAATGCTGCCCCCAATGCTCCCCCCAGTGCTGCCCCCAATGCTGCCCCCAATGCTCCCCCCAGTGCTGCCCCCAATGCTGCCCCCAATGCTCCCCCCAGTGCTGCCCCCAATGCTGCCCCCAATGCTCCCCCCAGTGCTGCCCCCAATGCTGGCCCCAATGCTCCCCCCAGTGCTGCTCCCAATGCTGCCCCCAATGCTCCCCCCAGTGCTGCCCCCAATGCTGCCCCCAATGCTCCCCCCAGTGCTGCCCCCAATGCTGCCCCCAATGCTCCCCCCAGTGCTGCCCCCAATGCTGCCCCCAATGCTCCCCCCAGTGCTGCCCCCAATGCTGCCCCCAATGCTCCCCCCAGTGCTGCCCCCAATGCTGGCCCCAATGCTCCCCCCAGTGCTGCCCCCAATGCTGCCCCCAATGCTCCCCCCAGTGCTGCCCCCAATGCTGCCCCCAATGCTCCCCCCAGTGCTGCCCCCAATGCTCCCCCAGTGCTGCCCCCAGTGCTGCCCCCAATGCTGCCCCCAATGCTCCCCCCAGTGCTGCCCCCAATGCTGCCCCCAATGCTCCCCCCAATGCTCCCCCGAATACTCCCCCCAATGCTCCCCCCAATGCCCCCCCCAATGCTCCCCCCAATGCTGCCCCCAATGCTCCCCCCAATGCTCCCCCCAATGCTCCCCCCAATGCTGCCCCCAATGCTTCCCCAAATGCTGCCTCCAACGCTGCCCCCAATGCTCCCCCCAATGCTCCCCCCAATGCTCCCCCCAATGCCCCCCCCAATGCTCCCCCCAATGCTGCCCCCAATGCTCCCCCCAGTGCTGCCCCCAATGCTGCCCCCAATGCTCCCCCCAGTGCTGCCCCCAATGCTGCCCCCAATGCTCCCCCCAATGCTGCCCCCAATGCTCCCCCCAGTGCTGCCCCCAATGCTGCCCCCAATGCTCCCCCCAGTGCTGCCCCCAATGCTGCCCCCAATGCTCCCCCCAGTGCTGCCCCCAATGCTGCCCCCAATGCTCCCCCCAGTGCTGCCCCCAATGCTGCCCCCAATGCTCCCCCCAGTGCTGCCCCCAATGCTGCCCCCAATTCTCCCCCCAGTGCTGCCCCCAATGCTGCCCCCAATGCTCCCCCCAGTGCTGCCCCCAATGCTGCCCCCAATGCTCCCCCCAGTGCTGCCCCCAATGCTGCCCCCAATGCTCCCCCCAATGCTGCCCCCAATGCTCCCCCCAGTGCTGCCCCCAATGCTGCCCCCAATGCTCCCCCCAGTGCTGCCCCCAATGCTGCCCCCAATGCTCCCCCCAGTGCTGCCCCCAATGCTGCCCCCAATGCTCCCCCCAGTGCTGCCCCCAATGCTGCCCCCAATGCTCCCCCCAGTGCTGCCCCCAATGCTGCCCCCAATGCTCCCCCCAATGCTCCCCCCAATGCTCCCCCCAATGCTCCCCCCAATGCCCCCCCCAATGCTCCCCCCAATGCTGCCCCCAATGCTCCCCCCAGTGCTGCCCCCAATGCTGCCCCCAATGCTCCCCCCAGTGCTGCCCCCAATGCTGCCCCAAATGCTCCCCCCAGTGCTGCCCCCAATGCTCCCCCCAGTGCTGCCCCCAATGCTGCCCCCAATGCTCCCCCCAGTGCTGCCCCCAATGCTGCCCCCAATGCTCCCCCCAGTGCTGCCCCCAATGCTGCCCCCAATTCTCCCCCCAGTGCTGCCCCCAATGCTGCCCCCAATGCTCCCCCCAGTGCTGCCCCCAATGCTGCCCCCAATGCTCCCCCCAGTGCTGCCCCCAATGCTGCCCCCAATGCTCCCCCCAATGCTCCCCCCAATGCTCCCCCCAATGCTCCCCCCAATGCTCCCCCCAATGCCCCCCCCAATGCTCCCCCCAATACTGCCCCCAATGCTCCCCCCAGTGCTGCCCCCAATGCTGCCCCCAATGCTCCCCCCAGTGCTGCCCCCAATGCTGCCCCCAATGCTCCCCCCAGTGCTGCCCCCAATGCTCCCCCCAGTGCTGCCCCCAGTGCTGCCCCCAATGCTGCCCCCAATGCCCCCCCCAGTGCTGCCCCCAATGCTGCCCCCAATGCTCCCCCCAATGCTCCCCCCAATACTCCCCCCAATGCTCCCCCCAATGCCCCCCCCAATGCTCCCCCCAATGCTGCCCCCAATGCTCCCCCCAATGCTCCCCCCAATGCTCCCCCCAATGCTGCCCCCAATGCTCCCCCCAATGCTGCCTCCAATGCTGCCCCCAATGCTCCCCCCAATGCTCCCCCCAATGCTCCCCCCAATGCTCCCCCCAATGCTCCCCCCAATGCTGCCCCCAATGTTCCCCCCAGTGCTGCCCCCAATGCTGCCCCCAATGCTCCCCCCAGTGCTGCCCCCAATGCTGCCCTCAATGCTCCCCCCAATGCTGCCCCCAATGCTCCCCCCAGTGCTGCCCCCAATGCTGCCCCCAATGCTCCCCCCAGTGCTGCCCCCAATGCTGCCCCCAATGCTCCCCCCAGTGCTGCCCCCAATGCTGCCCCTAATGCTCCCCCCAGTGCTGCCCCCAATGCTGCCCCCAATGCTCCCCCCAGTGCTGCCCCCAATGCTGCCCCCAATTCTCCCCCCAGTGCTGCCCCCAATGCTGCCCCCAATGCTCCCCCCAGTGCTGCCCCCAATGCTGCCCCCAATGCTCCCCCCAGTGCTGCCCCCAATGCTGCCCCCAATGCTCCCCCCAATGCTCCCCCCAATGCTCCCCCCAATGCTCCCCCCAATGCCCCCCCCAATGCTCCCCCCAATGCTGCCCCCAATGCTCCCCCCAGTGCTGCCCCCAATGCTGCCCCCAATGCTCCCCCCAGTGCTGCCCCCAATGCTGCCCCCAATGCTCCCCCCAGTGCTACCCCCAATGCTGCCCCCAATGCTCCCCCCAGTGCTGCCCCCAATGCTGCCCCCAATGCTCCCCCCAGTGCTGCCCCCAATGCTGCCCCCAATGCTCCCCCCAGTGCTGCCCCCAATGCTGCCCCCAATGCTCCCCCCAGTGCTGCCCCCAATGCTGCCCCCAATGCTCCCCCCAGTGCTGCCCCCAATGCTCCCCCCAGTGCTGCCCCCAGTGCTGCCCCCAATGCTGCCCCCAATGCTCCCCCCAGTGCTGCCCCCAATGCTGCCCCCAATGCTCCCCCCAGTGCTGCCCCCAATGCTGCCCCCAATGCTCCCCCCAGTGCTGCCCCCAATGCTGCCCCCAATGCTCCCCCCAGTGCTGCCCCCAATGCTGCCCCCAATGCTCCCCCCAATGCTCCCCCCAATGCTCCCCCCAATGCTCCCCCCAATGCCCCCCCCCAATGCTCCCCCCAATGCTGCCCCCAATGCTCCCCCCAATGCTGCCCCCAATGCTGCCCCCAATGCTCCCCCCAGTGCTGCCCCCAATGCTGCCCCCAATGCTCCCCCCAGTGCTGCCCACAATGCTCCCCCCAGTGCTGCCCCCAATGCTCCCCCCAATGCCCCCCCCAATGCTCCCCCCAATGCTGCCCCCAATGCTCCCCCCAGTGCTGCCCCCAATGCTGCCCCCAATGCTCCCCCCAGTGTGTCCCCAATGCTGCCCCCAATGCTCCCCCCAGTGCTGCCCCCAATGCTGCCCCCAATGCTCCCCCCAATGCTGTCAGAACTTGAGCTTAGAATCGATACTATAGTAGTGAGCTCTAAGCTCTTCAAGTACATCCGGAATGAGCAAGGTAGGGATGAGGAGGGAATCAGGAGGCAATCCTAGGGAATCAAGGGTAATCCCAAGGCAATCTCCAATTGGTGGGTTGGAGATTGCTTGGAGATTACATTTGGGTTTGGTTGGGATGTGGGTGTACACCCAACCAAACACAAAGTGCAAACTACACTAAACTAGGATATAAAAGTTCAAGTACAAAATGTGAGATTGGGGCCTAACACCAACACCCCTCTGAGGCGTCAATCGAACTCATGGCGGAGAGGGAGGAGCGCAGAGCCCCATGGCGCCAAGGAGACGATGGTGGGGAATCTTCCCAAGGGGCTTGGTGAACAGGTCAGCCAGGTTGCAGTCAGATGCCACGTATTCCACCTTCAGCTGCTCTTGTTGCACAAGGTGACGAATGAAGAAGTGCCGAAGTTCAATATGCTTGGTGCGGGTGTGATACACAGGGTCTTGAGAGATGTGGATGGTACTCTGGTTGTCACACCAGAGGGTGGGGGCTGACTGAGGGAAGCCAAGCTCCTGGAGTAGGAAGGTGAGCCAACGGGCCTCCTGAGCAGCCATGGTGCCTGCGTAGAGCTCCGCCTCACAGGAGGAGAGGGAGACTGCAGACGACCTGGTGGAGCGCCAACTGACAGTTCCGCTCCCGAGGGTGAAGCAGTACCCCTGAGAGGAGCGTCGGTCGGTCTGGTCATCAGCCCAGGAGGAGTCTGTGTAACCTTCCAGGCGAGGAGGGGAGAGCCCACCGAGTGTGAGAACGTGGGACTTTGTGCCCTTAAGATAGCGCAGCACCCGCTTTGCTGCCTTCCAATGAAGATTAGTGAAGCGACCCGGGGCCACGTAACGAGAGAGAACACAGACTGGGTAGGCCAAGTCCGGTCGGGTGCACATCATGGCGTACATGAGGGACCCAACAAGTTCCGGGTATGGCTCAGAGCAGGCCTCTGGTGTGGGTACAGCAGGAGCTGTAAGGAGGTGTTGCAGCGGCAGCGGGGTGGCAACAGGTGTGCACAGCTCCATCTCAAACCGCTTGAGCACATTGTCGATGTAGAACTCCTGGGAGAGTGAGATGGTGCGAGCCTTGCGATCACGAGTGATCTCCATTCCCAGGTAGTGCTTGAGGTCACCGAGGTCTTTCATCTGGAGGGCCTTGCTCAGGGCTGCCTGGACTGAGGTCATTTGGGCCGAGTCCTTGGCAACGAGGATAAAATCATCCACGTAGACTAGGATGTAGAATGGCTCAGAATGACGACGGATGAAGAGAGTCGGGTCAGCAGTTGAGGGGTGGAAGTCCAGGGAGAGGAGGACTTCTTTCACCTTGTTGTGCCATTCGCGAGGGGCTTGTTTAAGGCCGTAGACGGGGCGATTCAGCTTCCAGAGAGTGTTGGGAGGAAATTCTCCTGGAAAGCCTTCTGGTCTGTCCATGAACACTGTCTCCTTGAGACGTCCTTGTAGGAAGGCGGAGGAGGCATCCATGGATTTGATCTCAAAGTCTTCTCGAGCTGCAACATCCATGAGCGTTCGAATGGTGGGAGGTTTGGATGTGGGGGAGAAGATTAGGTCGAAGTCGCGGTACCGCTGCTGGGTGAAGCCCTTGGCTACGTAACGCGCTTTGAACACCGGTGCCTCGTCTGGGAGCTGTTTTACACGGAACAACCACTTGCCCCCGACGATGTTGACTCCTGGAGGTGGAGTCTCGTCGTCGAAGGAGTGGTTGCGAGTGAATGCTGCAATCTCCGCGTCCATGGCAGCACGCCATTCGGCAGCATGAGGGCCTGAGAGAGCCTCTTGGATGGTGAGAGGGATAGGGATGGTCGGGTTCTCCGCGAGGTTGAGGGAGGGTGAGCCAGTGATATCGGGGAAGATGTGTGAGAGCTGAGGAATGACTGCATGGAGATCACACAGCTCCTCATGCCTGTCTTCTAGAAGGGTAGAGGGCACATCCCCCCTAGCAGGAGGAGGCGGTGTGATCGTTGTGTATCGAAGAACCATTGCGAGTGGAAGAGCAGCGCGATGGGAGCGGGTGCCATGAGCCACCGGTGAGGAGGGTGGGGCAGGCGGTGTCGGAGATGGTGACTTAGGAGGCTTGGGTGGGGGAATGGGCCGCCGGCGGTACGTGATCAGCTCGGGCGACTGTGGGAGAGCGGGTTCCTCTGTGGTGGGGGGAACTGGGGGAGGAGGTGGGGCCGGAGGGTGGGACCGCCGATGGTAGGTGATAGGTGCGCTCGGAGGGGGCGGTGCAGCGGGAAGTGAGGAAGGTGAGGGGGTGGGCGGAGCAGCTGCCGAAGACACCGGTGAGGCCGGGTCAGAGACCTCAGAGGGAGATGGTGGGATGGCAGGAGAGAGAGGAGGTGAGGGGGCAGGAGCAGGCGGGAGGTCGGGAGGCGCGTCAAAGTCTGCCCACACGAGGGAGGGTGGATCAGGGAGAGGGTCCCGTCCTGAAGGGGAGTAGAATGGGCGGGTCTCATCAAAGACAACGTCGCGGCTCCTGACCAACTGTTGAGTGGAGGGATTGAGGAAGAGGTAGTCAGGTGAGTCGGCGTTGTGCCCAAGGTAGATGCACGTTTGAGTCTTGGGACCGAGCTTGCCACCGTTCTGGCGTCGAGCCTGAGGGTTGAGGAGGACATAGGCGGTGCATCCCCAAACGCGAAGAGAGCGAGCAGTGGGCATTTTCCCGAGCCAGAGTGTGGTTGGAGTGGTGTCGGGAAGGTGCGGATGGGGGTAAAGGTTGTAGAGGAGGGCGGCGTGGTAGAGAGCGTATCCCCAGAGAGAGTGTGGAGCGTTGGAGTGGCTGAGGAGGCACCAAGTGATCTGCACTAGGGTGTGGTTGCGGCTCTCAGCTATGCCGTTCTGTTGAGGGCTGTCAGGGAGGGTGAAGGTTTGCTGGATGCCTTCGGAGGAGCAGAAGGCTTTGAGCTTGTCGTTGCAAAATTCACCCCCCCCATCCGAGTGAAGGCGCTTGACCTTGCGGTCAAAGGTGGTCTGTGCCTGCTTGACCCACGCCATGATGACTTCTGGAGCCTCAGCTTTAGTGTGGAGGAGGTGAACAGAGACGTATCGTGAGTGGTCATCCACGATAACTAAAAAGTAGCGATATCCACCTCGTGCAGGAACAGGGGCAGGGCCCCAGACGTCCATGTGCACTCGGTCCTGTGGTGCCGCTGCGATTGTGGGTGAGGCAGTGTGGGGCTGTTGGCGCAGTTTGCTCTTGGTGCAATCAAGGCACGTGGGAGCGGGTGAGTCAGGTGGTGGAGGAAGTGTGGCTGGCAGGCCGAGAAGAAGTTTCTTGGAGGCCATGTCAGCAAGCGTGCGGAAGTTTGGGTGCCCTAACCGATGATGATAGAGGATGGTCGGGTTGGAGAGGCTGCGACATGTGCATGGTGTGATGGGAGCCTGTGCTTGGGTGGTTGAAACCTGTGGGAGAGGAACGCGTAGCGTGTCGAGGCCGCTGCTATTGAGGGTGAAGCGGGCCAAGACCTTGTTGGTGAGTGGGTCAATGATGTCGCAGTGGTCCTCATTCTCCGAGAAGATGGTGCGTAGCCCTGCTTTCTGAATTTCTGTTTGAGCCACTAGATTGTGGCGTAGTGAAGGCACGCACATGCCAGTGACGGTGCCGGAAGGGAAGGCTGGGCATGGGACTGTGGAGGTGCCCTTGGCTAGGGTGGTGAAGCTGGAGTCAGCTCCCAAGAGAGGGATAGGTGCTGGATAGGGTTTGAAGGAGAGTGTCTCCTTGAGCACAGTGTGAGTGGCCCCGCTGTCGAGTGTGAACTCTATGTACTGTGGTGCCTGTGATGAGTCGATGTACTGGGAAGTGGCTTCATTAATCATGGCAGTGCCAGGAAACAACAGGTTGATACGCACATCAACAGGAGCACTATCACTAGCACTAGCCGAAGAGGGGTCCTGGACCTCAACGAGATTGGCCTTACGAGCGCGCATCCAGTTTGGCGGCTTCTTGTCAACCCCCTGGATGGCATACCACTCGTCGTCTTTCTTCTTGAAGCACGTGGCAAGGGGGTGGTTAGTGCCACCACACACTTGTCCCTTGCGGTTGCCATACTTGACGACGTAGGTGCACGGAGGAAAGCGGTTGCGCTGGAAAGGCACCGAGGCAAGGGCCGCTGCAACACTTGCTAGGGGCATGGGAGCACGGATGGCGTATGCCTTGGCCTGAGCCGTGGAGTCTTTCTCGGCAGAGAGGAGTGCGGTGGAGACCTTAGCAAAGGTGAGGTCTTCCGCTGAGAGCGTGAGGAGCATCTTCCTCGTGACTTCATATGCCGAGGAGAGACCAACAAGAAGGGCGGCTGCAGGGGCTTGTTCGGGGAAGACTATACCCAGCTCCTTGAGTTCACCATGAATGGTCTGCACCTTGGCGATGTAGTCAGCCATTCCTGAGCAGTCCTCAAGACGGACTTGAAACATGCTGGGGATGAGAATCGCCACTCCGACCGCCGTCTTGTTCATGAACCGATCCTGGAGATACTTCCAGATGGCGTTGGAGGTAGGGTAGTTGTGGAACGTGTTGACAAGTTCGGGAGGGGTGGAGGCAATGAAAACGCTGATGATGGCAGCATCGGCCTTCTCCCACTTCCGGTACTTCTCAACAGCTTCTTCGTACTTCATCACGTCAGCATCACTTGAAGATTCGGTCTGTTCACGGGGAAGAGTGGGCTGTTTCCCCTTGTCACGGTTGAGGAGGACGTCCTTGATGTCAAGGCCCTACACATCACGGCTCAGGAGGTGCTTGTCAACTCCGTAGCTCCACGCCTTGAAGTTGGAGCTAGAGCCATCGGCTTCAAGGCGGAGCGGGGTGATGGGGTTCGCCATGGTGGAAGACGAGAAAGCCATGGTGGAGACCCCTTAACTTCTCGCGCGGAGCGCCGCTCTTAAGTCACCGATAGGAACTTGAGGTTTGGGGTTTCCAAAGGAGATTTTGAAGAACCGGAGGTTTAGGGTTTACGAAAGAGAATATTGAGGTTTAGGGTTTCTGAAGGAGAATTTGACTGAGACGCCAATTTAGTGTCAACTATCTACTAATCCTATTCCCACACAAATGCTCCCCCCAATACTCCCCCCAATGCTCCCCCCAATGCCCCCCCCAATGCTCCCCCCAATGCTGCCCCCAATGCTCCCCCCAATGCTCCCCCCAATGCTCCCCCCAATGCTGCCCTCAATGCTCCCCCCAATGCTGCCTCCAATGCTGCCCCCAATGCTCCCCCCAATGCTGCCCCCAATGCTCCCCCCAGTGCTGCCCCCAATGCTCCCCCCAGTGCTGCCCCCAGTGCTGCCCCCAATGCTGCCCCCAATGCTCCCCCCAGTGCTGCCCCCAATGCTGCCCCCAATGCTCCCCCCAGTGCTGCCCCGAATGCTGCCCCCAATGCTCCCCCCAGTGCTGCCCCCAATGCTGCCCCCAATGCTCCCCCCAGTGCTGCCCCCAATGCTGCCCCAAATGCTCCCCCCAGTGCTGCCCCCAATGCTGCCCCCAATGCTCCCCCCAGTGCTGCCCCCAATGCTGCCCCCAATGCTCCCCCCAGTGCTGCCCCCAATGCTGCCCCCAATGCTCCCCCCAGTGCTGCCCCCAATGCTGCCCCCAATGCTCCCCCCAGTGCTGCCCCCAATGCTGCCCCCAATGCTCCCCCCAATGCTCCCCCCAATACTCCCCCCAATGCTCCCCCCAATGCCCCCCCCAATGCTCCCCCCAATGCTGCCCCCAATGCTCCCCCCAATGCTCCCCCCAATGCTCCCCCCAATGCTGCCCCCAATGCTCCCCCCAATGCTGCCTCCAATGCTGCCCCCAATGCTCCCCCAATGCTCCCCCCAATGCTCCCCCCAATGCTCCCCCCAATGCTCCCCCCAATGCTCCCCCCAATGCTCCCCCCAATGCTCCCCCCAGTGCTGCCCCCAGTGCTGCCCCCAATGCTGCCCCCAATGCTCCCCCCAGTGCTGCCCCCAATGCTGCCCCCAATGCTCCCCCCAATGCTCCCCCGAATACTCCCCCCAATGCTCCCCCCAATGCCCCCCCCAATGCTCCCCCCAATGCTGCCCCCAATGCTGCCCCCAATGCTGCCCCCAATGCTCCCCCCAGTGCTGCCCCCAATGCTCCCCCCAGTGCTGCCCCCAGTGCTGCCCCCAATGCTGCCCCCAATGCTCCCCCCAGTGCTGCCCCCAATGCTGCCCCCAATGCTCCCTCCAGTGCTGCCCCCAATGCTGCCCCCAATGCTTCCCCCAGTGCTGCCCCCAATGCTGCCCCCAATTCTCCCCCCAGTGCTGCCCCCAATGCTGCCCCCAATGCTCCCCCCAGTGCTGCCCCCAATGCTGCCCCCAATGCTCCCCCCAGTGCTGCCCCCAATGCTGCCCCCAATGCTCCCCCCAATGCTCCCCCCAATGCTCCCCCCAATGCTCCCCCCAATGCCCCCCCCAATGCTCCCCCCAATGCTGCCCCCAATGCTCCCCCCAGTGCTGCCCCCAATGCTGCCCCCAATGCTCCCCCCAGTGCTGTCCCCAATGCTGCCCCCAATGCTCCCCCCAGTGCTACCCCCAATGCCGCCCCCAATGCTCCCCCCAGTGCTGCCCCCAATGCTGCCCCCAATGCTCCCCCCAGTGCTGCCCCCAATGCTGCCCCCAATGCTCCCCCCAGTGCTGCCCCCAATGCTGCCCCCAATGCTCCCCCCAGTGCTGCCCCCAATGCTGCCCCCAATGCTCCCCCCAGTGCTGCCCCCAATGCTCCCCCCAGTGCTGCCCCCAATGCTGCCCCCAATGCTCCCCCCAGTGCTGCCCCCAATGCTGCCCCCAATGCTCCCCCCAGTGCTGCCCCCAATGCTGCCCCCAATTCTCCCCCCAGTGCTGCCCCCAATGCTGCCCCCAATGCTCCCCCCAGTGCTGCCCCCAATGCTGCCCCCAATGCTCCCCCCAGTGCTGCCCCCAATGCTGTCCCCAATGCTCCCCCCAATGCTCCCCCCAATGCTCCCCCCAATGCTCCCCCCAATGCCCCCCCCAATGCTCCCCCCAATGCTGCCCCCAATGCTCCCCCCAGTGCTGCCCCCAATGCTGCCCCCAATGCTCCCCCCAGTGCTGCCCCCAATGCTGCCCCCAATGCTCCCCCCAGTGCTGCCCCCAATGCTCCCCCCAGTGCTGCCCCCAATGCTCCCCCCAATGCCCCCCCCAATGCTCCCCCCAATGCTGCCCCCATGCTCCCCCCAGTGCTGCCCCCAATGCTGCCCCCAATGCTCCCCCCAGTGCTGCCCCCAATGCTGCCCCCAATGCTCCCCCCAGTGCTGCCCCCAATGCTGCCCCCAATGCTCCCCCCAATGCTCCCCCCAATACTCCCCCCAATGCTCCCCCCAATGCCCCCCCCAATGCTCCCCCCAATGCTGCCCCCAATGCTCCCCCCAATGCTCCCCCCAATGCTCCCCCCAATGGTGCCCCCAATGCTCCCCCCAATGCTGCCTCCAATGCTGCCCCCAATGCTCCCCCCAATGCTCCCCCCAATGCTCCCCCCAATGCCCCCCCCAATGCTCCCCCCAATGCTGCCCCCAATGCTCCCCCCAGTGCTGCCCCCAATGCTGCCCCCAATGCTCCCCCCAGTGCTGCCCCCAATGCTGCCCCCAATGCTCCCCCCAATGCTGCCCCCAATGCTCCCCCCAGTGCTGCCCCCAATGCTGCCCCCAATGCTCCCCCCAGTGCTGCCCTCAATGCTGCCCCCAATGCTCCCCCCAGTGCTGCCCCCAATGCTGCCCCCAAGGCTCCCCCCAGTGCTGCCCCCAATGCTGCCCCCAATGCTCCCCCCAGTGCTACCCCCAATGCTGCCCCCAATGCTCCCCCCAGTGCTGCCCCCAATGCTGCCCCCAATGCTCCCCCCAGTGCTGCCCCCAATGCTGCCCCCAATGCTCCCCCCAGTGCTGCCCCCAATGCTGCCCCCAATGCTCCCCCCAGTGCTGCCCCCAATGCTGCCCCCAATGCTCCCCCCAGTGCTGCCCCCAATGCTCCCCCCAGTGCTGCCCCCAGTGCTGCCCCCAATGCTGCCCCCAATGCTCCCCCCAGTGCTGCCCCCAATGCTGCCCCCAATGCTCCCCCCAGTGCTGCCCCGAATGCTGCCCCCAATGCTCCCCCCAGTGCTGCCCCCAATGCTGCCCCCAATGCTCCCCCCAGTGCTGCCCCCAATGCTGCCCCCAATGCTCCCCCCAGTGCTGCCCCCAATGCTGCCCCCAATGCTCCCCCCAGTGCTGCCCCCAATGCTGCCCCCAATGCTCCCCCCAGTGCTGCCCCCAATGCTGCCCCCAATGCTCCCCCCAGTGCTGCCCCCAATGCTGCCCCCAATGCTCCCCCCAGTGCTGCCCCCAATGCTGCCCCCAGTGCTCCCCCCAGTGCTCCCCCCAGCGCTGCCCCCAATGCTGCCCCCAATGCTCCCCCCAATGCTCCCCCCAGTGCTCCCCCCAATGCTCCCCCCAGTGCTGCCCCCAGTGCTGCCCCCAATGCTGCCCCCAATACTCCCCCCAGTGCTGCCCCCAATGCTGCCCCCAATGCTCCCCCCAGTGCTGCCCCTAATGCTGCCCCCAATGCTCCCCCCAGTGCTGCCCCCAATGCTCCCCCCAGTGCTGCCCCCAGTGCTGCCCCCAATGCTGCCCCCAATGCTGCCCCCAATGCTCCCCCCAGTGCTGCCCCCAATGCTGCCCCCAATGCTCCCCCCAGTGCTGCCCCGAATGCTGCCCCCAATGCTCCCCCCAGTGCTGCCCCCAATGCTGCCCCCAATGCTTCCCCCAGTGCTGCCCCCAATGCTGCCCCCAATGCTCCCCCCAGTGCTGCCCCCAATGCTGCCCCCAATGCTCCCCCCAGTGCTGCCCCCAATGCTGCCCCCAATGCTCCCCCCAGTGCTGCCCCCAATGCTGCCCCCAATGCTCCCCCCAGTGCTGCCCCCAATGCTGCCCCCAGTGCTCCCCCCAGTGCTCCCCCCAGTGCTGCCCCCAATGCTGCCCCCAATGCTCCCCCCAATGCTCCCCCCAGTGCTGCCCCCAATGCTCCCCCCAGTGCTGCCCCCAGTGCTGCCCCCAATGCTGCCCCCAATGCTCCCCCCAGTGCTGCCCCCTATGCTGCCCCCAGTGCTCCCCCCAGTGCTGCCCCCAATGCTGCCCCCAATGCTCCCCCCAGTGCTGCCCCCAATACTGCCCCCAATGCTCCCCCCAGTGCTGCCCCCAGTGCTCCCCCCAATGCTCCCCCCAGTGCTGCCCCCAATGCTCCCCCCAGTGCTGCCCCCAGTGCTGCCCCCAATGCTGCCCCCAATGCTCCCCCCAGTGCTGCCCCCTATGCTGCCCCCAGTGCTCCCCCCAGTGCTGCCCCCAATGCTGCCCCCAATGCTCCCCCCAGTGCTGCCCCCAATACTGCCCCCAATGCTCCCCCCAGTGCTGCCCCCAGTGCTGCCCCCAATGCTCCCCCCAGTGCTGCCCCCAGTGCTGCCCCCAATGCTGCCCCCAATGCTCCCCCCAGTGCTGCCCCCTATGCTGCCCCCAGTGCTCCCCCCAGTGCTGCCCCCAATGCTGCCCCCAATGCTCCCCCCAGTGCTGCCCCCAATGCTGCCCCCAATGCTCCCCCCAGTGCTGCCCCCAATGCTGCCCCCAATGCTCCCCCCAGTGCTGCCCCCAATGCTGCCCCCAGTGCTCCCCCCAGTGCTCCCCCCAGTGCTGCCCCCAATGCTGCCCCCAATGCTCCCCCCAATGCTCCCCCCAGTGCTGCCCCCAATGCTCCCCCCAGTGCTGCCCCCAGTGCTGCCCCCAATGCTGCCCCCAATGCTCCCCCCAGTGCTGCCCCCTATGCTGCCCCCAGTGCTCCCCCCAGTGCTGCCCCCAATGCTGCCCCCAATGCTCCCCCCAGTGCTGCCCCCAATACTGCCCCCAATGCTCCCCCCAGTGCTGCCCCCAGTGCTCCCCCCAATGCTCCCCCCAGTGCTGCCCCCAATGCTCCCCCCAGTGCTGCCCCCAGTGCTGCCCCCAATGCTGCCCCCAATGCTCCCCCCAGTGCTGCCCCCTATGCTGCCCCCAGTGCTCCCCCCAGTGCTGCCCCCAGTGCTGCCCCCAATGCTCCCCCCAGTGCTGCCCCCAGTGCTGCCCCCAATGCTGCCCCCAATGCTCCCCCCAGTGCTGCCCCCTATGCTGCCCCCAGTGCTCCCCCCAGTGCTGCCCCCAATGCTGCCCCCAATGCTCCCCCCAGTGCTGCCCCCAATACTGCCCCCAATGCTCCCCCCAGTGCTGCCCCCAGTGCTGCCCCCAATGCTGCCCCCAATGCTCCCCCCAGTGCTGCCCCCTATGCTGCCCCCAGTGCTCCCCCCAGTGCTGCCCCCAATGCTGCCCCCAATGCTCCCCCCAGTGCTGCCCCCAATACTGCCCCCAATGCTCCCCCCAGTGCTGCCCCCAGTGCTCCCCCCAATGCTCCCCCCAGTGCTGCCCCCAATGCTCCCCCCAGTGCTGCCCCCAGTGCTGCCCCCAATGCTGCCCCCAATGCTCCCCCCAGTGCTGCCCCCTATGCTGCCCCCAGTGCTCCCCCCAGTGCTGCCCCCAGTGCTGCCCCCAATGCTCCCCCCAGTGCTGCCCCCAGTGCTGCCCCCAATGCTCCCCCCAGTGCTGCCCCCAGTGCTGCCCCCAATGCTCCCCCCAGTGCTGCCCCCAATGCTCCCCCCAGTGCTGCCCCCAGTGCTCCCCCCAATGAAGCCGTGCCACATTAGCTTCGAGGTGGACCAGCTGTGAGGCGGTGCGTCGTCGCAAGCCACGCTAGCGCCGTCACTCTCACTCTCGCTGCTCATGTGTGTGGGTCTCGGCGCCCACCGTCCATCCACGCACCGCCCATCTGCATCTGCATCTGCATGTGTATGCCCATGCCCATGCCCATGCCCATGCCCATGCCCACACACACCCATGCCCATCATCCCCATGCGACATGTGGGCACACCAGGTGATGACGCTCTCCCGGGGGCTGCACATGGCAGCACTGCTCAACCGCACGCTGCTCATCCCGCCCAAGCTCGCCCACTTCAACCGTGTCATGCGCCACAGCGTCATGCAGTCTGGCTTCCGCAACCGCGCCTGGGCCCACTACTCCCTCCTCCTGCGCTCTCCTGTACGCCCCCACGCACCACCCCTCCTCCTCCCCCCGTTCTCTTCCTTTCCTTCCCCTGTCCCTCTCTCCCCTGCAACCACAATCGTTGCTACAGGGGTTTCCGATGCCTCCAGCTTCCAGGCGGTCCCATCCCATGCTGCTTTCTTTCGTTCTGCTTGTTGCCATTTGGTTTCCCGTGCGAGGGAGTTGCTTACCTACGTTGGGGGAGCAGGGTTCAGCATTACATGTGCCTGTGCGTGTGCCTGTGTCCTTATCTTTGCCACCACCGCTCCCCATTAGCACCAGTCCATGAGCAACGTGTTGGGAAAAAGGCCCTGCGCTCTGTGCCTTGTGCCTTGTGCCTTGTGCCCTGTGCCTTGTGCCTTGTGCCTTGTGCCTTGTGCCTTGTGCCTTGTGCCTTGTGCCCTGTGCCTTGTGCCTTGTGCCTTGTGCCTTGTGCCTTGTGCCCTGTGCCTTGTGCCTTGTGCCTTGTGCCTTGTGCCTTGTGCCTTGTGCCTTGTGCCTTGTGCCCTGTGCCTTGTGCCTTGTGCCTTGTGCCTTGTGCCTTGTGCCCTGTGCCTTGTGCCTTGTGCCTTGTGCCTTGTGCCTTGTGCCTTGTGCCTTGTGCCTTGTGCCTTGTGCCTTGTGCCTTGTGCCTTGTTCCCTGTGCCTTGTGCCTTGTGCCTTGTGCCTTGTGCCTTGTGCCTTGTGCCTTGTGCCTTGTGCCCTGCGCCATGCGCCCTGCGCCCTCTGCCCTGTTCCCTGTGCCCTGCGCCCTGCAAGCAATTTTAAAGATACAAAAGCTTTTCTCAAACTTGCCCTGCTCCTGTGCCCTGCGCCTGCTCCCTGCGCCCTGTGCCTGTGCTAACCACACCCGGCGACTCCTTTCCGCACCACCCCCCGCTGGCAGGAGTACCCATCAATGGGCGACGTGTTGGACGTGGGCGCCATATCACCATCCCTAGTGCGCACCATGGACCTGCGATGACTTTTGAATTGACCTCCCCCCTCCACACCACCCCCCTCCCCAGGAGTACCTGTCAATGGGCGATGTGTTGGACGTGGGCGCCATATCACCTGCGCTCGTGCGCACCATGGACCTGCGCCACTTTGTTGCCCGCCACTGCCGCTGCAACGTGTCTGTGTCGTGCCCGGGCCATGCGTGCCGCATGCTCTTCCAAGACATCACCTTCTCTAACCAGGTCTGTGTGCATGTGTGTGTGTGTGTGTGTGTGTGTGTGTGTGTGTGTGTGTGTGTGTGTGTGTGTGTGTGTGTGTGTGTGTGTGTGTGTGTGTGTGCATACGTTCGGCATGTGCATGTGCATGTGTGCAAGTGCTATGATTCCCGGTGGATGGTCGTGGCTCAAGGCACTGCTGCCCCTTGCACTTGCACCGTGTGCATGTCGTGAGTTGCCATGAGTCGCCCATGCAAGTTCACTGTGTGTCTCCCATGTGTGCCCCATGCGTGACCCAGTCCCTCACGCAGTGCTTGCAAGTGTGTGGGGCGAGAATCGGCGCATCCACCCACACCTCTGCTCGGCTGTGGGGCACCCTCACCACTCTTGCCACTGTCACTGCGCGCACGGGCCTCACGGGTCTCGTTCAAGGCCACGTGCTGCTGCCCTCTGATCCCGCACTGTCGGTCCAGGAATGGGAGCGCAGGGGCATGCTATACGCAGTGCCGCACATGTGCAATGAAACCATCTGGACCGTTGGAAACTACTCCAGGTGGGGCCCCCTCACTTGCCCTGCTCTCACTCGCTATGCACCCCTTCAATGCTCCTCCAATCCCCAACCAGTGCCCCTCCACCCCCCCGGAGCTCCTTCCAACGCCCCACTGCCTTCCATCGCCCACCATGCGAGTCCATGCAGCAAGGGCGAGCTGCTTCAAACGTTGGGCGGCGGCAAAGTGACTTACGACCATGGCGTCTGCCGGGACTTTCGCCGGGATCCCCACCGCTTCCCGGTGCCTCTCTCCGTGCACCTCCTGCAGCAGCCGCCCCGCTCCGCTGCCCAGGTTTGAACCAAATCATCACATGGAAAATCTCTTTCTTTCAAACGGTCCTTTCCAATGAGCAAAAGTGGTACACTCGAGAAAGGGTAAAGGTGAAATGCACAAATGTATTTTCTTGATGCTTGCATGCCCATGTTTACCACTGCCCTTGTCGCTCGCCTGCCCCCACTCGCCCATCTCCTCCACAACCCTTCTCTGCCCGAATCCCATGGCAGGTGATGGCATTCGGGTCCATGTTTGACATAATTATTACGGACTTGAACCTTCACCCCACTGACCGCATCCGCCAAGTACAAAAGGCATGTACTCCGCACTCGCTTTCCCTGCTCTGCCCGTGTATGTGCCCTGCGCAACATGCAATGTAGTGCTTCTCCTCCTCCTTATCCACGTCCGGCCCCTCAACTCCCTCCATTTCCTCTCACCGTCTACCATCTGCATAGTTTTCAGCCCAGTAAACAGCCATAAACACTCGCCAAGCCCTGGAGTTTTCTTCCGACGACGACGATGACGACGACGACGACGACGACGACGACGACGACGACGACGACGACGACGACGACCACCACCACCACCACCACCACCACCACCACCACCACCACCACCACCACCACCACCACCACCACCACCACCACCAACTCTCCTCCGCTCTCCTTGCTCCTCCGCGTGCGTGCAGGAATCAGTGCCGTTCTTCTCATGGCCCATAGTGCAGCTGGCACGGGACTACATTCACCAGCACATGCCCCACCCATACGCATGCCTGCACCTGCGCGCCAATGAGGCCTCTTTTGTGAAGAAGCGGAATGTCACGCTCAGGTACCCGTGAGATCCAAAAAGGCTTGTTCCAGTCTGGGGGAAGATCCACGCGACCAGCTGAGAATGCAAGTTCTGGTGTGCCCTTTCTTGCTGTTCCGTGCCCTCTGCGATCCATTTATGCTGGCACCTTGTGATGCGCTAGATCTAGATGTGCTATATTGTTTGAGGTTGATTTTGAAAATTCTCAAAATCAACCTTGTGATGCGCTAGATCTAGATTTGCTATGTGGCATCAGTCAGGGTGCGGTCCCAGCAAGGGAAAAACCCTCTCCTTCCCTCAGTGCCTGTGTCCCCTGCATTCAATATCATCTCTCAGCATCCCTCATACAGTGATATATAAACAATGTCCTCTCTCTGCATCTCTCACAGGGCGAGCACGTCTCTCTACATAAGCAATCTCCTCTCTCTGCCATGCACATCTCCCACAGCAACGCTGAGCAATCACTCCGGGAGATTCTGAAGCAGAGGGACCAGCATGTTACTGTGGGAGCAGCAGCCCCGTCCGCCAACCTGCACCTCTTCCTAATGACAGATGTACACCAGGAAGTGTGGTCTGAGCTGCTGCTGCCGCGCCTGGCGCGCCTGCCTGTGCCAGTGCAGGTGCACACACTCGCGCCGCTCAAGCAGCGCCTACTGGCCCTCTCAATGCGTCTGCGCGGCTACGGCATCGGTATACGGGCGAACCGATTCTTCCAAAAGGTGGGCTATGACATGGGTGCCACGGAGGCCAAACCACAGGTGTGACTGCTGTGTTTCTGCCATCTCGCCCTCTCCTCCTCTTTCCTTCTTCCTCCCACCCTCCTTCCTCCCCTTTAAATAACCTACACACGCACAGGAGCGAGCAGCCCTGGTGCTGTGCCCCTACCTCACTATCCAACAGCTCCTCCTCTTTGTCCTGCTATATCTATCCTCTCTCATGATGGATCTATCCTACCTCTTGTATGCTGATGCACTCACAGGAGGACTCTCTTTGGCGAGTGGAAGAATCAAGCTTGGAGGACCGAGAGAAAGACGATGAGGTGGCATTGACGCGGCTAAAGCGCACGGGCGGAGGAAAGTCAGCACACTTGATTCCCGATATAGGCCTGTTTGTAGAGGAGACAGTGTGCTGCCATGCGTCCCTTGGGACTATCTTGACGGAGGGCTCCACTGTTAGCAATACAATTCGAATGCATCAGGAGGCTGGGCGCTGCACTTTGGATGCTTCTCTTCAATAGAGTTGTGAACATGCTGGCCCAATCATTACCATCATCGCCCGGATATAAGACATATATGTCTCATCTCATACACTAAAAAAATGCTTGGGTTATCTTGTATTTGGGGGGGTTTTGGGTGTCTTATAAGTCTTATAAATGGAAACTTTTTTAAACTACTTCGAAATATTTTCACGCATCTTGAAAAGAGTTTCTCATTAAGAGTGTGGATGGTTCGAAGGTGCCACTTCGGCAACCATTGTTCGGGATGCCACGTCATCCTGAGTACTTGCAGAGGCAAATTTGGTAGTACGCGAGTCAGCACGTGGCAGAATTCGCGTGTTGCAAGGGTAAAGATGTACGCGGCATTTCAATTTTCACTATAATACATGCAGTTTCGATTTTAAGACACATATGTCTTATCTCGTTCACACAAATAGGTGTCGTATAAAAAGGCTAGCCTGTTTATAAGAGACACCCGTATAATAGACAACCCCTGTCTACTATTCAACACTGTCTAATATCCGGGCGATGACGGTAGTCAGCAAGGTATGGTGGTGGTGTGTGACTCTTCAACACATTTACAGAAAATGGGTGTCCTGTACATTGGTGTGGTTTGTGGTGCATCTTTACCTTACACAAGCTTGCTTCTATTGAGCTGAACACAGCCTACTGACAATAAATACCGTATGATCATACCCAGGCAGGCACACGTACCGCATGAACAGCACTTGTGCGCGTAACGAGAGACCTGGATCAGGGTGTGCCTGCCTGCTCTCTTGGTCAGCCTAAGGTATGCATGCCCATGCCCATTCCCACTGTACTTCATCACCACAATCCATGCACACCCACTCACACACACACCTGCACCTTCCCCATCCCTCCTCCTGAATCGTTGAAACGCCACCACCGCAACAAGGAGAAGGTACACTACACTAAGAACATTCTCAGTTTGACCCATAACAGCGTAGCGTGGCAGTGTAGGTGTGTGTGTTGAGTCCGGGACAGCACTGCACCAGCCCCACTGCGCTCCACTTGGCCAGCAGCAGCGGCTTCTCACGATGCACCGCTGAAGCGACTGCGCATAACCCTTGATGAGATGAAACCCTGGTGAAAAATCCTGCAACTCCTTCTGGCAGAATGTGCGGCCTGTGTGTGGCATGGCATGTGAGGACGGCCCTATGCACCCAGCAAACGCCCCGCCACGACCACCGCTGCGAGGAGAGGAACGTGGGGAGGGGATGGGCCACGGCTCGACTCCTCCTACACAGCAGGCGCGCGTGTGTCGGCACCATCAGGTCCATCCATGCCCATGCACCACCACTGCGCCACCTCCGCCACCTCCCCACCTTGGCCGCACCAGCAGCAGCGGCAGAAGCTACCCTCACAGCACATGAAGAAGCACACAAGCCGTCACGTCACGACCACTGCTGCGAGGAGAGGAAGGTGAGAACGTCAACCACCTGGCTCATAACTGGGCGGTGAGTGGGGTCCAGGGCCAGGCACCACCGCGCCACCTCCGCCACCTTGGCTGCAGCGGCGGGCGGGGGCGAGGTGGCAGTGAGAGCAGGGTCCATGATCCTGACTATGTCGGCCGGCTGCTGCAGGTATGGCCGCGCATACAGCACCAGGTTGCCTTCCGGGTGCGGCCTGGTGGGCGTGACGGGGGGGAGAGGGGATGGGGCGGGAGGGGTGGGGGAAGTGGAGAGAAGGGTTGGGGACGAGAGTGCAGGGACGAGTGAGGGAGGGGGGGGGTTAGCGGCAAGGGATCAGTGACGGAGCAAGGAGGTAGGGTGCATGAGTGGGAGAGGGGAGGTGAGGTAAGGGGCCAGAAGGAAGGGGCAGGAAGACTCACGAAGTTGGTTGCTTGTCCTAGGTGGCATCGGCTTAGGGCAGTGTCCTCCTGTTGCAGTTCCACAAGTGCCTGACAGCATGCCTTTGCCTTGAAAACTCTCTCTCCGACATTCATCCCCAACTGCCCACTCAATGGTCCCCAGAGGGAACGGCGAGCCCCTAACCTGTGCGTAGTCATACAGTACAGCAACCCCCTCACCTTCCCTTCCACAAGGCACAGCCAACTTGCTGCCCCACTTCTTTCTGCCCTGGCACCCTGCCTGCCCCACTCCCCCCTGCCCCACTAACCCCGCCCCACTCCCCGCTGCCCCACTAACTGCGCCCCACTCCCTGTCTGCAACACTTCGCCCTGCCTGCCCTACTGCCCATGTTCCCCGTCTGCGCAGGCCTCACCGCTTGCCATCGATGGAGGGGCGGCCGGTGAGCAGCTCGAGCAGCAGCACGCCGAAGCTCCACACGTCATTCTTGCTGGTCAGCTGCCCCGTCAGCATGTACTCTGGCGCCGCGTACCCCGCTGTGCCTCGCACCTGCTCTCTCACACACGCACGCACGCACACACACACACACACACACACACACACACACACACACACACACACACACACACACACACACACGCGCACGCATGCGCACACACATGCATGCGCACATGCACGCACACACACACAAGCACGCATCACGTGGGATTGTGGTGCAGCAGGGGAAGGCAGGTCTTGGTGAGAGGGTGCTGTAATGGGCGAGCTTGTCACTTGCGGGGAGATGGCTATGGCAGGAGCAGGAGCAAGGAGGGGAGACGAGGATGCCACTCTCCCCTCTCCCCTCTCCAGTGCGGCGTATGGAAGACGGAATATATGCGACAAATAGCAGCATCACGAGGCCATGGTACAGAACATGCATGCGAGGCTACCAACGCCACTCAACAATGGTAAGCGTGCTCTGACCAACCGCACCCCACAAGCCCAATGGAGAAAACAACCCTCCCCTCCCACGTGCTGCCAAAAGGCAATGCCTCCCTAGTGAGCTTACCATCTCACTCCATTTCCCCTGCCCCGTCCCTGCCTTGCGCACATACCATGGGACGACTTTTAAGTCGACTCAAAAGTCCCCATTCCCCCCCTACGCCTTACGTTACCCCCGCCATTCCCCCCCTACGCCTTACGTTACCCCCGCCATTCCCCCCCTACGCCTTACGTTACCCCCGCCATTCCCCCCCTACGCCTTACGTTACCCCCGCCATTCCCCCCTCCAGCCCAGCCTGCCCCCAGCCCAGCCGGCCCTTCCCCACCTGGCACATACCATGGTGGAAACATACACGGAGTCCCCCTCTAAGTCCCCGTTTCCCCCCGTCCCACCCTGCACCCTCCCGACCCGCCCTGCATCCCCCTGCCCTGGCCCGGCCCATCCTGCCCCCCCGCCTGGTTGCACATACCATGGTGGAGACATACTCGGAGTCCCCCTCGGGCCCCTCCCGTGCGAGGCCAAAGTCGGAGAGCTTGGCATGGAAGGACGCTGTTAGCAGCACGTTGGACGTCTTGAGATCGCGGTATATCACCTGGTGGGTGGGAGACGCGGAAGGGGAGAGGGGTGGGCGAGGGAGGGGAGAGGAGGGGAAGAGAAGGGGAAAAGGGGGGGAAGATGAGAGGAAGAAAGGGGGAGAGAAGGGGAAGAGGATTGGAAGGGGGGGGGGGAGAAGAGGGAAAGAAGTGGGAGAGAGAGGGAAAGAAGTGGGAGAGAGAGGGAAAGAAGTGGGGGGGAAACGGGGAAAGAGGGGGGGTGGGGTTGGGGGTGGAGAGGCAGGGGCGACGGAGGAGAGATGGGCGGAGAGAGAGGAGAGGAGGAGAGCCAAGAAAACGTGTGGAAGGATGACTTCAGATGGGAAAGGGGGAGAGAGGACGCAGGATTCGGAGCGAGTAGGGATACGAGAGGAGAGGAGCGGACGGGCAAGAGGAGGAGGGGCAAGTGGCAAGAGAAGGGCGTTGGGTGGCACAAAACGCAGTAAGAAGAAGTCAACTGCGCCTCTCAGTCACGCCAAACCTGTCTCAGCTCCATCTTCCCTCGCCCCCTCGCCCCTCGCCCCTTGCCCACGCGTCTATTGACTGTACTTAACCTGCCCATACTGCACCTCTGCTGCACTACTCACATACTTGCCTCTCCACCACCCCCCTCCTCACCCATCCTCCCACTTCCCCCTTACCTCGCCCTACTCCACGCCTCCCCTTCCAGCAATCCACTCCAATCTCTCTCTCTTTCTCCCCCCTCCCTCACCCCCTCCCCACCCACCCCACCACCTACCCTAGGTTCCATCTCCTCGTGCAGGTAAGCCAGCCCCTTGGCAGCGCCCAGCGCCACCTTCAACCGCGTACCCCAATCCAGCACCTTGCCACCCGCCCCTTGCCCCGCCTCCCCTCCAGCCCCTCCACCAGCAGCAGAGGGATTAGCAGAGGAGGAGGAGGAGGGGCGGAAGAGCAGGCGGTCAAGGCTGCCGCGCGGCAGGAGCTCGTAGACGAGCAGGCGGCGGTCACCCTCGGCGCAGCACCCCATGAGGCGCACGAGGTGCGGGTGGCTGGCCGCTGCTAGCAGACTCACCTCAACCATCCACTCCTTGTGGCCCTGGAGGGAGGGTGGGCCGGGGGAAAAGGGAGTTGGGGGCATGGAGTGGGGGATGGTGAGGTGGAGGGAGACCGGGGCTGAGAGGGGGATGGGTGGAGGGAGGAGGGAGGGAATAGATGGCTGCGCAGTGGGTGCGCAGTCTGCTTGTTCAGCTGGAAACTGTGCATTCGGGAAAGGTTAGACCGTGACTGTGAGTTTGAGGGTGCGTGTCAGTAGGTGTGTGACTGTGAATGTGCACACACCTGCTTTGTGTGCAGGTACTTTTGGGTGCGTGAAAGTAGGTATGAGCGAGTGATACAAACTTGTGTGTGTGGGGCGATGGGGGGCACGGCGTGAGTGAATGAGCCAGCGTCTGTGTGTGCGTGTGTGGGAGAGTACGAATGTGTGAGTGTTCATCGTGTGCTCACACGTCTGGGGGGGCATGCAACCATGCTGAGCGCCTATTTCTGTGAGCAAGCCAGACCAGCCCTCCAAGAAACCCACCACCCTTACCTGCATGCCCTGCATGGTTTCTGATCTGATAATTCTCAAGAGCCAACTAGCCCTCACCTGCATGCTCTTGCTATTCAGCTTCTTTACTGCCACCTCCACCCGCCCGCCCGCTCCCTGCTCCCCTGCTTCCCCCCTCTCCTCCCCCTCTCCCTCCCGCCCATCCCCCTCCAGCGCGATTTCGCCGCTGTTACCAGCTTCGCCAGCGGGATTCGCGAGGGACGGCAGAGCCACCTCCCCTCGATACACCCTCCCAAACCCCCCGCTGCCCAGCAAATTCTCCGGCGCGAAATTTTTAGTGGCTGCCCGGAGTTCTGCATACGAAAAGATGTGCAGGCGATGCCGCAGCTGCAGCTCCCTTAAAGCCTCTATATCCGCGTTCTCCAAAGGCCCTCTCTCCCTCCCGCTGCTGCTCCCCACGCCACTCCGCCCTCTCTCCCTCTCCCCTTTCCCCTCCCCTCCCCTCTCCCCTCTCTCCCTCTCCCTGGCCTTTTCTTTTTCTTTTACCGAAGGGCTCTTAGGCGGGTACGCGCTAGGCGTATTGGGTGCAAGGGGCGGTGTAGACGCAGTGGACGAAGAGCTATTACGGGAGAAGTTTCTAGTGAGTATGCCGGGCAGGTTGGATCCGCCGCCCGGGAGCGGCAGCACGGCGGACGACGGCCCTCGCCCCGACGACGACCCCCGCCGCCCCGACGACGATCCCGCGGACAGCCCGTCCCGGCGCAAGCTGCGCCCACTCGCGCTCCCCCCGCCGTCGCGCGACGACGGGCGGGAGGTCCCGCCGGAGGAGGAGGAGACCTGCGCGGAGGGGCCGGGGGAGCTGCGGGAAATGCGCGGGGAGGAGGAGGTGGAGGAGGAGGAGTGGCGGTGGTGGTGGTGGTAGGATGACGAAGGGGTAGTGGATCGGCGGAGCAGCGGGTGCTTTCCGGGTCCCGCCACGTCTGCCGCCACGGACCCGCTACTGCCCGCGGGAGCAGCGCTGGGGGCGGCGGAAGGCGCGTGCTTGGAGGTGCGGAACATGGGGCTGGCGGGCGCGCTCATGAACCCCCCCAACATGCCCGTGCGCTCCTGCTTCACGTGCTTCGAATGTTTGGAGTGCTTCGACGCTTGCTGCTGCTGCTGCTGCTGCTCAAACTGTACGTGTCGTGCAGCGGTGCTGGCGACGCTTATCGGGGGAACAGGCGAACTGTGCGACCGTTCGCAAGCGGCTGGTTGTACCGCCATTACTGCTCGGGCCTCCTCCGGCTCTCTCCCCCCCTCCCCTTCCTGCTGCTGTAGCGTTTGCTCTAGTTGCTGCTGCAACCGCAGCTGTAGCTCCTGCTGCTGTAGCTGCTGCCGCTCGTTCTCCTCGCCGCCCTCCGCTTGTCTCAAACCCGCGTCACTCCCTCTCCCCGACCCGTCCCTCGATCCACCCCCCAAAGTGTTCTCCTCCGCGTGCCCCTCGCCGACACGCTGCTCCGCGCTGTTCCCCCCGCACATCCGCCGCTGCTGCTCCCGCTCCAACGACTGAGATGCATCCACCTGCTGCGCTTGCGCTTGCCCTTGCGCCTGCGGCTGCGCCTGCGCTTGCGCCTGTACCTCCTGCTGCTGTTGGCGACGCTCCTTATCCTTGCTCTGCGATCGCGGCACGCCTGGTCGCACACCGTACCCGTCGTGCTCGTCGCCGTCGTCGCACGCGTCGTCCACGAGAACGGGACGCGTGCACCCGTGCCACGAGTGCCCGTGCACGCCGCGGTGCTGGTGCTGGTGGTGCCGCGGCGGGCTGTCGTCCCGAATGACTTGCCCGAACCGAAAACAATTCATACTGCCCGGGCGCGGCCAGTTCGGATCACTAAACCGTCAGGCCTGACCTAGTGTAGTGCGCTAAGGGATAAATCCAGGAACCTGTGAAGTCTAACCGCGGGTGGTGGACGAGATGCGAGTCGCTTAGAAACCACACGGAGAGATCTGGCAGCAACGGATAACATTCGCAGGACCGGTTAAACTAGAAGATCGAGCAGTACGGGAAGGACATGTGCATGAGCGGATCTGGCGGGATTACATGATCTCGAAAGGTCTCCCTAGTATACATGCGAAAAGTCCCGCCAGGCTTTGAAGCCTAATGCGGTTGATCTGACTCGTTACGACGGTTCACGCGAAAGCCTCAAGGATGGTTCAAGTGACTCCAATGATTGCCCGATACAAAGCGACACTGATCGCGAAGTTATGTGCCTTCACGCGCCGTTGGTGCATTCGGTCAATCCCGTGTGGGTGCAAAGAAACCTGTGTTGCCTTGCCAGCTCCTACACTGGCGCACCAAGCAGTCTGTTTGTACTGTGATGGAACAGAAGAGTGGAGCAGAGAAAGCACGGACGGAGGACTCGAACCGACCCCCCTGGACAAGTGCACTGGTAACAGTGTTCTTGGCAACTTGGCTTCCACACCTCCAATTCTCCATGTATGCATGCTTGCAGCAGGTCAGCTCATCAGGACGCGGCACCTGTTTTCATTTTACTAGGGTCATGGCCTCACATCGATGCTCGCATATCGATCGGCACACCGATGTGCCCACACTGCAAATTTGCAGTGGGGTAGACACATCGAGCTATAGGTGCCAGGATCGAAATTGCAGGCTCGGGCAGGTTGGAGCTGCCATTACACTTAAACACGCAGCCAATCAGGGCAGAGCGTGGATGGTCGTCCAGCATTCGCAGCGACTCAAGTATTTTTGGCCTGCGACCGTGGGCGACGCCGATCGATCGAGGCTGTCACCTGTGGCGCGATATGCTCTCCCGCCAACCCTAACGCATGCACCACGGCACATCGATCGTGCGAGCTGCAGGTGCCACCAATTTAGGTACCCGTTTACTGTACAATCTCGAAGTTTAGCGAAACACGGTTACCAGTCATTGGTGATGTCGCCATACACTGTAGAAGCGGCACATAGATCCCCTCCCACGATCGATCCTGGCAAAATGAAAACAGGTGCTGCGTCCTCAGCCTGTCTGTCACGCGACCATGATAAGTGAGGGAGCTTACCTACCTGTTGCGCAAGCGCTAGCTTCTGTCAGATGTCCTTTCTGTCGGGATGCGTACTCTGTATGACATATTCTGCTACCCAAACAACACGCCAGATTAAGATATGAATACATGTTTCTCACTACATTTCAGTCTCATACTTGCGCAAGAAAATCATAACAACTATTTTGTAGCACTAACAATCAAACCCACCATAATTTGGTCGAAAGTTTACTGTGAGCTTTCCAAAGGAGAATAATATCGTACAATTGTTCCATATCCATATCCATAGTCAAAAGATAATCTTACATGTTACACTTAAATTATGAATTGTTTAGGGTTACATATTGTCAGATGTTGTAGCCTGTAGTGAGGTTTGTCTTAGGGGGTACAGATGTTAGGGTTTCTAATATGTACCCCAACCAACATCAATGACACAACACTTTCATTCTTGACATGGTATCACCTAGGTTAGGATCCAGTGGGATCCCGTTCCACTCGTTCACGTCCGTAGCGCCCGAGCCTGTCCCGTACCCTAGTGTTACAATAGTAAGCACAGTCAGGAGCCATAGCTAGGGTTTAGCTAGCTAGGCAAGAGAGAAATGAACAAAGGAGGGGGTTTCACTAGCAGCAGTTGGGATACATATAGCAAACCCTAACAGGGTTGTACTCGCTATAGAGCACCCCACTACAGGCTAGATAATAACATTCTGACACACCCCCATAGCCAAAGTGGGTTGTAATCAGCAGAGCACGCAGTCATAGAGCAGGTTCACAAATGCAAGCAAAGCTAGAGGCTATCACAGAGGGCACGTGAGGAGGAGGAGGAACTGTGGAAGGAGAGAAGATGGGAGGCAACAACTGAAGCTGCAGAGGCACGGGCACAGGAGCGGCTGACCCAGTGGCTACCGAAGCAAAGGCGACGGACTACTGGAGTGACTGGCTCCGCGGCTAAGACGAGCGGCAGGAGCAACGGACCCACTGGCGACTGGTGCAACAGGCTCACTGGCTACCGAAGCAAGGGCGACGGACTACAGGCGCTGCAGGCGACACGACAGCTACCTCCACACAACCTCCTCCAATTGACCCACACCCTTGACACACACCCCCTGCTGAACCCCTAACTCCACTCCCACGTCACCCCCCTAGCACCACTCCTTCGGCTCCCACACACCCACCCCCCTGAGCGGCAGCTGCAGCAGCGGGAGACGGAGGAGGAGGAGAAGTAGTGGAACGGCGCACAAAAACTGCACCCCCATACCCCCCACCCCCAAACCCTAGTTCAGGAGAACGGGCAGCAGCAGGGGTGGGGAAACGTCAGAAGCACGGGGGACAGCCAGCAGCTCAGGGGCAGAGAGGAACGGGCCGCCCACGGGCCTGGCACAGCCCGACGAACCGCGCGCAGGCAGCCCGAGCCGCGCGCGGGCCGGGCGCAGCCCGTACGGGCCGCGCTCGGGGATAGCGCAGCCCGCGCTGGCCGGGACAGGCGACGGGGGATGATGGGCTGGTCCCCGTCGCCCGTCAAAGCGCCCCCCGGGGCGACGCGCGGACCGACGAGGTAGAAGGCCACCGCACGCCTCGGGGCGCACGGCGGGCAGAGAACCGCCGCACGCCCCGGGGCGCATGGCGGGCAGAAAACCGCCGCGCGCCTCGGGGCGCACGGCGGGCAGAAAACCGCCGCACGCTCCGAGTGCACGGCGGGAAGGAAAATCCGTCGCACGCCACGGGGCGTGCAACACACAGAGTAGCAGCGGAAGCAGTTAGGTGGGCCCACAGGCCAGGAGCGTAAATGCTCTGAAACCATGTTACAATAGTAAGCACAGTGAGGAGCCATAGCTAGGGTTTAGCTAGCTAGGCAAGAGAGAAATGAACAAAGGAGGGGGTTTCACTAGCATCAGTTGGGATACATATAGCAAACCCTAAAAGGGTTGTACTCGCTATAGAGCACCCCACTACAGGCTAGATAATAACAATCTGACACCTAGTGCCCGTTACGCTCGTACTGTCCCCTAACGCCTATTGCGCCTGCCGTTACGTCGCTCTCGTGCCCTAGCGCCCGCTGCGCCTGCCGTTACGTCGGCCTTCAGTCCCGTCCCGTCCGTCCGCGTCGCGCTGCCTGTCCACGTCGTGCCGTCCGTCCCGTCCCGTCCGTCCGCGTCGCGCTGCCCGTCAGCGTCGCGCAGTCTATCCCGTCCCTTCGCGTCGTGTCGCGCTGCCCGTCAGCGTCGCGCAGTCCGTCCCGTCCCGTCGCGTGGCGTCGCGTCGCGCTGCCCATCCTGTCCCACTGCGTCGCGTCGCGCTACCCCTGCCCGTGGCGCTGCGCCCTCCTAGTCCAGCAGTGTTGCGCACTACTCTGTGTCCCGTAGCGCCCTACCCTATGTCCCGTAGCACCCTACTGAGTCACTCTTAGTGATTAGGGTTTTGGCAGCAGCACTTCCTACCTCTTTGCTTTTGCTATGGCGACCCTTAGGGTTCTTCGTTTTGACGCTGACGGTAGACCGCTCGAGTTTCCAGTCTGGCTCCTACACGCGCGTCACCTTTTAGAGATTCAGGTCCAGGCGGGCGAGTCCCTCTGGGCGCACGCTACTGGTGACCTTCCTGCGCCCGACGACCCTACGCCTTTAGGCCCTGCCCCTGACGACCGCTTTACCAGCCAGCGTGCTGACCTGACGGCGTGGAAGTCGCGTGACGCTGCGGCCTGCATCGCTCTTAGCAGCCTCCTCCTTGAGTCTGAGGAGGCCCACTTCACTCAGGTTCGCACTGCTAGTGAGTTCCTGACTGCGATCAAGGCCCGCCACGCTACTCCCACCATTGTCTCCCTTGGCTGCCTCTTCCTACCGCTCTTGTTCCCTGACCTTGCCTCGTTTGAGCGCTCTGCTGACTTGATTGCTCACCTCCGCTCGCTCGATTCTAGCTACCGCGCTGCTTGCACTGACGCACAGCTTGCACTTCTTCCCCCTCCCATGGCGATTACTATCTACTTCATTGCCTCTAGCCTCCCTGACCGCCTTGCCTCGGTTCGTGACACGCTTCTTCTGAAGCACCCTAGTGAGCTCACT